GAAGAAGAATCGCGCCGCACAGGCAAAGCGACTGCGGCAGGAGTTGCAGCCGTTGCTTCAGCTGCTGGCGCCATCCCCTGGGAGCTAGAGAGTCGGCCACCGCAGGGAGGGCGCGGTGCGACTTGCTCGAACAGAGGGAGCTAGCTCGCAGGATCTCGGGCGCTGAGTCCTGCGAGCCCGTTGATTGCGCCAAGCGAGCCGGGCCCGCCGCCCTCTCCACCGGACTGTGCTCTCCACCGGACCATTGCAAGCCTATATTGTATGTGTATTCGGAACTGCCCCTCGCTGCTCCGCCCCGCACGGTTGCGGCGGTCCTCGCGCCTGGTGTGGCCAGCTGAAGTCGTCGTGTGTTCTCCGTCGGTCCGTCGTCCATGGGGTTTTGTCTTTGTATATGTCGCGCACGGCGGAAGTTGGGGGAAAGAGAAAGAAAACGGTTTGAATGTCCCAAGCTAGCTGCTAGGCGTAGGCTAGGCCTAGGGCTGGGTCGAGGATGACAGTAGACAGACACGTCCCCACCAAGAAAGAAAGAAAGAAAACAGGCAAACCCAGACGAGGGATGGGGGAGGAGGACAGGGTCCCCACCTGCACGTCCCCACCAAGTCCAGGATGCGGCCGGAATTCTTCTTTCGTGAGCGGCGTGAGCGGTAGAGGGGCGTGTTGTCGTGCGATGTTACGTTGCTCTACGCTGATTGGCCTGCGACCCGGCCCATCACGCTTGCGGTCCCTGGTGCCCGTGGCGCGGCTCCTTTGCACGCCGGCCAGTCCTTCCAAGTCGCCTCCCGGTGGTGGTCGAGGCGAAACCAGGAGCAGAGGTGGTGGCGGTGGCGGCGGTGGCGGCGGTGGCGGCGGTGGCGGCGGGGGCGGCGCGCGCGTGCTGTGTGAGATGCCGGCGCTCTCGAGCCGTCGCGAGCGCGTGCGCAAAGAGGGCCTCATCGCGCTGACGGCCGACTACGTGCGGCAGCGGAGCGAGAAGCTCGCCGTGGAGACGCAGTTCCGAGTCCAAAACTACACCGTGCCGCTTCACCGGCCGGCCGAGTTCTCGCTCTCCGCCGTGTACGGCTTCGGTCGGCAGCGCGCCAAGCGCCTCGCTGCAGAGGTCGGGCTGCACGGCGCCTACCCGCTCAACCGGATGCGGGAGTCTCAGCGCTCGTACATTCGCCGCGCCCTCGCCGCCGCGTGCGTCAACTACGACGACCCGGCGCAGGCGGCGGGTGCTGCGCTTCAGAAGGAGGTGTCTCTCAACATCAAGCGGCTCAAGGAGATCCGGTGCTACCGCGGTATCCGGCACGAACTGCGGCTCCCCTCGCGCGGCCAGCGAACAAAGGGAAACGCCCGCACTCGCCGCCGAATGGGGCCGCTCAACTAGCGCTTTGGCCGTGGGCGTGGTAGCTGTTTTTGGCCAGGGTGGAGAGAGCAACTTAGGGGGGACATCACATGTCGCTGTCCGCTACTTGTGCTCTCTTGTGCTCTCTTGTGCGCATCAACACGCTCGCAGCGCGACGTGTGCGAGCTCTTGTGGAGGCTTGAGGTTGAGCCTTGAGCGCGCTCTGTACATGTCGTCGGACTAGTGTTGCCCAAATGCCGAAATGGTCATGGAGAGAGTAGAAATAATATGCTCGCGCCTCGAGGCTCGCGCGCGCCTCACAGACACACTCACCTCAACGTGTAGATATTCTCTCGCCATTGGCAATAGGAATAGCCATTACGCCGCTCGTCTCGGTCTGTGTGTGCGGTCTGGCCCACCTCTGGCAGTACCAGTAGATTACCACCGCGGGCGAGTACCTAGGTAGAGGGTGCGGATGCTGAGTTGACGGAAATCGGGGGGGGGGGGACGCGAACCCACCTCGCCACAGACGGTCCCGCGCCTCGCCGCTATGACGTCCGCACGACCGCAGCTCGTGTGCGTGCGGCCGTCTTTCTCTTTGTCCGGAGTTGCAGTTGGCGATGGTATCATTTTTATGCCACGTCGCCCATCCCGGGATGGGCGAGACGTGGCATAGTGGGAAATGATACACCATCGCCAACTGCAGGAGTGAATACTCCAACGCGCTCGTCGGTGACGGTGTCCCCCAACCTGCGCCGCGCTCGGCGAACCTGCGCCTGAAGCCTGGAGAGCAGCTCCTCTGCTGCTCACACACGCTCTGCACAGATGGCACAGCCTACTGTGCGGCTGCCACAGCTGTCACAGCGATGGGCTCGCCCTCACCTCTCTCAGAGCCGGCTCTGAAAGACACACACTCGAGAGAGAGTACGTATAGCTGTACAGGACCTGTGTAATTTCTAATTAATTTTAAGTGTGCGAGAGGACTCAAAACACCTTTTGGTGGACCTTTGGGAAGGGGCGAGAGTGGGAGACTTTTCGGCGAAATGCGGCGGCGAGGGATGCGTCCTACTTGTGGGGCGACCTTGCGCTTTCGGCTTTGGGACGTCGAGACCTGTGTCGCCCGAACAGGCACAGCTAGCGCGCAGCGGTCAAATATGCACGACGTGTGTGTGTGCGCCCTGACCCTCGCCCGGCCTCCTGACGCCTTACGCTTACCTGCCAAGACCTGGCTGAGTCTCCGGCGCGCCAACCAGCCATCTATAGAGGGCCTTTGCCCACGCTACCAGGACTGAACCGTTCCCGTCGGCAAGCGCTCCGGTCCTTCCGGATGGGCCAACGCAGCAAAGGCAGGCCGAATTGTTGGAGGGGCTCGAGGAGCTCGGATACAGCACATCCCACCCAGCGCAGCGCAGCGGCAAGGCGGGCGGGCTTGGCAAAGATGGCGTGGGGCCTTCCGCGAGCCGCGGCGTCTCGACCTCCGGCCGGCCATCCTCCACGGCGTCGGCGAAACGGCGCACCATATCGAGCAGCTGAGGGCGCATGAACATCATCGAGTAGCCCACACGCGTGTTCATCTCGATGAGGGCAGGGGGCTGACCGGGCCCTCGCGCCTTGATGCCGAGGCAGCCGAACCCGTGGTACCTTGTACGCCCGACCAGCTCCCGGAGGTGCGTCTCGTTGAACGGGCTACGGCCGCAAGGCTGTGCACCCGCCGTCTTCAGGCCGGGACCGACGACACCGTCGCGCACAAACAGCCCCGAAGCAAAGACAAACTCCTTACAGACCGACGCGACCAGCCGACCGGCGAAAGCCGCAAAGTAGATGCCCCACTCGCTGGTGCCCTCCACAGCCTCTTGCGCCAGCACCGCGCCGAGAGACGCCGAGTGCTGGCGGATCCGCTTCACAGCCTCGGTCAGCTCCGCTGGCTGTCTCACGATGGTGATGCCATGGCCGCCGATACCCGTGGTGGGCTTTATCACGAGCGGGTAGGCAACGCGCTGTGGGTCGCGTAACAGCCGGGTGACGTTGAACTCGCGGATTGCAAAGGCGCCCATTCCGTGGCGCTGAAGCCACCTCGCCGTGCCCTGCTTGCCCGTCCTGTCGCTCATGAAGGCATCGAACACCGCGGGCGGCGGGGCGGCAATCCGTTGGCCCAGAGGGCGCAGGACCGTGGCAGCTGCCTCAGTCGAGGCGATGACAATCGCGCGGCGGTGGGTGGCGAGCACCTGGCGAGCCGCGACGAAGAGATGCCGCTGCCAGTGCCGGCTCTCGGGCTTCCACGCGGCTGCGCGTTTGTCATACACTACCTTTTCGGACGAAAAGACAAGGCGTGTGTCCTCGATCGCCTCAGCCTCCTTTCGGAGCAGCGGCAGCCAGGGGAAGGGTCCCGGCGCGACGTGAACCCAGGCTGTGTCCCTCCTCCGCTCGGGCGGCAGTGCCCGTATCTGGACCCAGCATTCGCACAGGGAACCGCAAGTCGGGTGGCTGACGGTGGTGCAGAATCGGCTCGAAGCCTCAGTCTGCCCGGGCAATCGGCCTTGGACCCGGACCGGCATTTGCTGTTCGCGTCCGTTCGTTCCGCGACTAGGCAGACAGTTTGCGCCCCTCGGGTTGGGGGTGCTTTTCGCTTGAGCACTTGAGCACTTGATACGGTCGATTCCGCAAGAACCCTGGTGTGTTCATTGGGGGGGGGGGGGGTACAAACACGGTACAGGATCGAGGTGCACGCTGCTGAGGGACCCCACCCAGAGGGTAGATCGAGCAGTGTCGTCCCTCTCCATCATCTCACTGGGAGACGTCGGCGGCGATGGCGGTGTGACCGATCGAGCTACAAGAGGAACTTGTTCAGCAGGATCCGGGACAGGTCTGGTGCACTACCTCACTGGGCCTGAGATCACCGACCGAGACAGCGCCCGTCACCGTCTCTTTTAGCTACTGGGAGAGAAGGGAGAGGGCTCCCTGCCTCTCCCTGAAAGAAGAAAGAAAACATACAAGCGAGGGATGGGAGGACGGCACGCCGCCACCACACAGGGATTTTAAGCCTCTCCCTCCCTCGCACACACACAAATATTTCTTTTATTTTTCCTTGGCGTCTCCCTCGCGTAAAGTGATCGCCGCAGCTGCGAGCGCTGCGGAGATATGCCTCTTCGCCGCCACCCACCCTCCCCCACCCTCCCCTTGTAGCGCGGAGGGGCGTAATTCCGTCAAAGAAAAAATCTTGAACGGTGTGTGTGTTTTTTCAATGAATGGTTCTGTATTGTATTTTATTCTCCCCGTCCTCGCCCATGCCGCGGTTCGTTGTAGCACGCCTGAACGCTGAAGGTGTGCGATGCGTGCACATGCACCATGCACATGTGCATGCACATGTGCATGTGCATGCACATGCACATGTGCGTGTAGCAGCCAACACTGCTCCGAGTAACTCTCTCTCTCCGAGTATACTCGAGTAGAAGCATGCGCCATGCTGGCTGGATTGCCAGCGTGGTGCTCGCAATCGCGGCAATGATCTACACCCTGCGGACTGGTCCGCTTGCTGTCCTCTTCCACACCGCATTCGACGGCGTCTAGACTGAACGTTTTCCTTGACCGCCGCCACCACACAGGGATTTAAGCCTCTCTCCGACCACGGCACTATTTTCCGTGTGGCGTCTCGCGCGGAGAAGACCGCCGACTCAAGGAGGCGGAGATATGCGGACCTCGCTGCGCAAGAGCAGCAAACAGCTGGCTGGCGACATCTCTGGTGCGGTGAAAAAACGCTCAAGCACCAGCGGAGACGGCGGCTCTCAGGCGCGAGAGCCCCCGCAATCGCCTCGGCCGCGATCGCCTCGGCCGCGATCGCCTCGGCCGTCGCTTCAGCAGGATCATGCGCCGCTGGTGGAGGTCAAGACGCAGAAACCGACGTCCATCGAGGACTTCACCGTCCACGGCACCCTCGGCCAGGGTGGCTTCGGCACCGTGCTGCTCGTGGAGGAGACTGCGACGGGCGAGATGCGCGCCCTCAAAGAGATCTCGAAGCGCAACATGAACAGCAAGGAGCACTGGGAGTGCGTGATCGCGGAGAGCGAGGCGCTGCAGAAGCTCCGCCACCCGCTCATCATCAAGTTCTACGACGCCTTCCAGGACGCCGCGCACATCTACTTTCTCCTCGAGCTCGCCGACGGCGGCACCCTCCTCCAGCAGCTCGAGAAGCGGGGCGGCCGCTTCTCCGAGGAGTGGTCGCGCTTCTACTGCGCCGAGATCGCGCTCGCGATCTCGTACGTCCACTCCCAGAACATCGTCTACCGCGACATGAAGCTCGAGAATCTGCTCGTCTCCAACTCTGGCCACGTCAAGCTAGCCGACTTCGGCCTCGCGACGCAGCGGACGAACCGGCGGCAGGCGGCAAACAAGCCCGGCGGCGGAGAAGAGCTAGCAGAGGACCAGCCAGTCACAAGCCCACCGTGTAGCGTGCCGGCGCGGCAGGGCCGAGCCACCCTCCCCTCCCCCTCCCTCCCTCCCCCTTTCAGGCTCTCTGCGGCACGCCACACATGCTCGCCCCGGAGGCGCGCCCCAGCACGGCCCTAGCCCGCGGAGGCCAGAGGGGCAGAGGGGAGAGAGGGGGCCTGCGCCCGCCTCCCACCTGCCCCGCCCTACCTCCTGCCCCGCCCTCCCTCCTGCCCCGCCCTCCCTCCTGCCCCGCCCTCCCTCCTGCCCCGCCCTCCCTCCTGCCCCGCCCTCCCTCCTGCCCCGCCCTACCTCCTGCCCCCTGCTCCGCAGGTGCTTCTGAAGCGGGTCGTGTACGGCCCGTCGACCGACTGGTGGGGGGTCGGGATGGTCCTCTGCGAGATGCTCCTCGGTGAGTCGGAGAGAGATGGGGAGAGATGGGGAGATATGGGGAGATATGGGGAGATATGGGGAGATATGGGGATGGTCCTCTGCGAGATGCTCCTCGGTGAGTCGGAGAGAGATGGGAGATGTGGGGAGATATGGGGAGTTATGGGGGATGGTCCTCTGCGAGATGCTCCTCGGTGAGTCGGGGAGATATGGGGAGATATGGGGAGATATGGGGCTGGCAGACCTCGAGCCCGTCCAGCCCTGCCTCTCGCCCTGCTGCTGCAGGCAAGTCTCCTCTCGCCTGGGTCAAGGGCCCGGAGGACATCTCCTCGCTGCCAAACACCTTCAAGAAGAAGCTCCACCTCCCGCAGTGGGGCACGGTGCAAGTCTCAGACGACTGCAGGCAGCGCCGCGCCCCCTGGCGCTGTGCTCGCCCCGTCCTTCTCTGACCGCATTGCACCACACACCACACCGCAGGCAGTGCGTGGAGCAGTTCCTCGCCATCAACCCGACCCAGCGCCTCAACTGCACAAGCGGCATCGAGGAGATGCAGCGCCACTCCTTCTTCGCGTCCGGCGAGATCCAGCCGAGACCCAGCCGAGACCCAGCCGAGACCCAGCCGAGATCCAGCCGAGACCCAGCCGAGGTCAGGGGCCGCACACCTCTGGCCCTCGGGGCGGTCGCCATCGCCCCCCACCCCCCGCCCCCCACCCTCCTCATCCCCTCCTCGCCCGCCACGCGCCAGTCGACTGGTCCGCCATGGACCGCGCCGAGTGCGACGCGCCGCTCGGCTCGAGCAGCAGCGAGGCGCCGCGCGCCAAGCTGATGCGCAGCCGCAGCAACCCGGACGTGGAGGGGGAGGGCGGCGCGGGAGGCGAGGGGGGCGTCCGCGGCTCCTTCAACGAGGGGAGCGGCTCCTTCATCGCAAACGAGGCGGGCTGCGGACCGCCGCCCTCCCCTGCCTTTTTGCCCCCCTGCCCCCCCCCCCCCTCCCTCTGCCGAGGGAGAGCGCACGCGCCCCCCTCTCTGCAGGCGGGCTGGTCACAGACTAACCCTGACCCTGACCCTGACCCTGACCCTGACCCTCTCTGCAGGCGGGCTGGCTCAAGGTCACAGACGCGGCGGTCAAGGGCGACATCAAGGAGCTGCGCCGACTCTTCAAGGCGAGATATGGGGAGATATGGGGAGATATGGGGAGATGGCATCAGGGAGCTGCGCCGATTCTTCAAGGCCTCGCGCCTAGTCCGAGCCTAGCCTCAGGCCTCGTCCGGACGGGCGGTGTCGGACTGGGAGAGGGCCGGAGGAGAGTCGGGAGGAGAGTCGGCCGCGTGGGGCTCAAACGCCAGACCAACCCCCCCCCCCCCCCTTCGTGCGTCCAATCTCGCCCTTCGCTTGCCGACTCACCCCCTTGCTCCGCGCAGTCGGGCGTGCCGGTCGACGCGACAGACTACGACGAGCGGACCGCGCTGCATGCCGTCTGCTCGTCCGTCGAGGACGGCGACCTCGCTCTGCGCGTGCCGATATCTCCCCATATCTCCCCATATCTCCCGGGACCTCGCTCTGCGCGTGCCCCATATCTCCCCATATCTCCCCATATCTCCCCATATCTCCTCGCTCTGCGCGTGACGAGCCGCGGGCTGCAGCCGCAGTGGCCCCCGCCGGGACGGAGCCGGCCGCCACTCGTACTCTCGTAGGCGCGTCGCGCGCTTCCTGATCGAAGAGTGCGGCGCCAGCGTGAACGCGCTCGACCGGTGGGGCTTCACCTGCCTGCAGGATGCGGCGCGCTCCGGGCGCGTGGCGAGCATCGGCCTACGACGGCGAGTGCGGCAGGCGCGTCGCACTCGTGTGCCGGCCTTCTGTCCTTAGGCGCAAGGACTTGACGGCCTACCTGCGCAGGCACGCCCCTCGCCCCGACCCCGGATCGAAGGCCCGCCCTGACCCCACACACCGCCCTCGTGCGCCTAACTCAGGAAGGGCGCTCACAACGGAACCGCCGCATTCGTCGACATCTTCAACGCCGCCGCATCCGGCGAGGCCATTGCGCGCGGCTGTTTCGAGCAAGCAGCGGCGGAGTGACGTTGCGTCGTTCGTGCCCAAGGTGACATCGCGCTGGTGCGGCGGCTCGTCGAGTCCGGCTCCGACCCGAACGAGAAGGAGCCACGCGCAGCCGCCAGTCTGGCAGGTCCGCGCCGCAGACACGGCTGAGCTTCAGCTTTTGTTATGCCGGGGAGCTGTAGGATTACGACTCGCGCTGCGCGCTGCATGTCGCCGCATCGGAGGGGCAGCTGGAGGAGCGTGCAGACCAGTAGCGAGTAGTGTGGAGCTGGTGTGGAGGAGCGAGCGCTTCGCGCCCCCGCCGCGCAGCAACCGGCCTCTTTCTTAAGCCTCCCCCTCGCCTGTGCTGACCGTTTCCTCCCGCGACCGCGCCCCCCCCCCCCCCCTTTCGCGCAGGTTGTGCAGTTCCTTGTGGACGAGGCCAAGGCGCACCACTCTCCCGCCGACCGGTGGGGCAACACGCCCTTCGGAAACGCGCACCCCAGCACATGCGAGAGGCGGCGGCCAGGAGAGCAGGACACGTCCTCACCCGCCCCCTCGCTCCCCGCAGGCGCTCTTCGGAGGCAAGGAGGCGGTGGTCGAGTTCTTGCAGTCCCGCGGCGCCGCGGGCGCCGTCAAGGCGAACGTGCAGCGGGCGAACAACGCATTCAACTTCAACGAGGCAGCCGCCAACGGCGATCTCGCCGAGCTCCGCCGCTTCGTCGCCGCGGGCGCGAAGGTCAACGAGGGCGACTACGACTCGCGCCGCGCCATCCACATCGCCGCTTCGGAGGGGAAGCTGGAGGTGGTGCGCTTCTTGGTGGACGAGGCGAGCCCCGAGACATAGCGGAGAGGCAGCCGAGAGGTAGCACCTGGCGGACGAGGCAGCCTGCCCCTCGCGCTGCACTCTCCCGCCGCACTTTGCCCTCCCTCTCCGCGCTCTCGCTCCCCGTGTCCTCCGCCATGGGTCCTCCGGGGCACCTCACACACCCGTCCCTCCTAGCTGCCATCGGACAAGCCGTGGCCCCTCGCCCCCCCTCTCGTCTCTCCCACGCCGACGACTCCTCTCGATCAGGCCGGCGCGGACCATTCCGTTGCCGACCGCTGGGGCTACACGCCGCTCGCCGACGCAAACCGCGCGCAGTGCGGCCCCGTCGCTGCCTCGCCGCTGCCGTGTGCAGGGCCGTCCTCGGCAGCCCTTGCCTTGGTGTGCCTTAGGCAGCATGCAGTCGCAGACTTCCTGCGCATGCGGGGCACACGATGCGACCGACGAGGCGACGCCTCCCCGCGAGGCCTCTCTCAGGAGGGCGTCTGCTCTCTGTTGCAGGCGCCGAAGACCGCGAGGAGGAGGAGCGGCCGGTGGTGCGGTCGCGCGGCGGCGCGGGCTTGAACTCTGGCATGTTTAAGGGCCTTTGTCGTCTGAACGCCTTGAGCGACCACTGCTCACTCGGGCCTCACTCCTCCCTGCTCCTCGGACGTAGGCTCCTCTCACCCCCGGCGATGGCGGACCACGACAGCAGGCACGCGGCGGTCGAACGCTGGGCGTCTTTGGAACGCTATAGGCTCTTTCCTCGGCGAGAAGAGCGACGACGCGCCAAAGAGAAAGATGCCCGACCCGCTCGTGTGTGCTTCCCCTCGCGGGGCGCACGGTGCGACTCTCCAGGCAGGGTCACCGGAGCGCGTTTTCTCACAGGTGTGCCCTCTGAGCGGCGCGCGTTTCAACGCTCCGATGGTGGCGGCCGACGGCTACACCTACGACCTGTCCGCCATCGAGGCTATGTGAATAGCATAGCTGTGAATAGTATAGCTGTGAACAGGCTACACCTACGACCACGCCGCTATCGAGGCGTGGCTCGACAAGCGCGGGCCCGTCTCGCCGACGACAGGCGACCGGGCGGAGGTCCCCGCCCTCAGCAGAGGGTCTCTCTAAGCGAACGGATCCGAACGGCACACCCGCAGGCGAGGAGATGGAGAGCTCCGCCCTCATCCCGAACCGCGTCGTCGGCGCTCTCCGGCGCCGCCCAGCTCCGCAAGACACCCGTGCGAGAGCCTCACGCACGCGCCAAGTGGGATAGGTGCCCTCATCAACCGGCGCGCGGCGCGCATCCAAAAGAAAGCGATCAAGCTCACGCGCTCGCCGGAGACAGACCCCTCGCCGAGCCTCCGCTGAGTCGCGAGTCAAAATGGCTGACGTGTCGGGCGGTTGGAGCGGTATAGGAGTGCTTGGCCAACTTGCTCTTTTTCCTGGCGGCGCTGGTGGTGCTCGCTCTGGGCGTCGCGCACATCGAGAGGACCACGCGCGACGAGGGGCACTTTGCAAGCAATTCGTCGCTTGACGGCGCGGCGGGCGGGACGTGCCCGCATCGCGCCCCGGGCAGTGTGTCCAACTCGCGGCGTTGCTGTCCGCAGGTGTGGTCAAACATGGCGTGGATGGCGGCTTTATGTACGAGGGCTACGACGAGCTAAAGCGGCGCCATGACATGGAGGCGGCCGAGGCCATCTGACGGAGCATCAGCGCGCCCCTAGCCGCGGGGCCAATCCCCAGGGCCCCACACGCCGAACTCTGTGCCGCAACCATCCATGTTTCTCGCCCAAGCGATTCGCGGCCTACGACTTGTCTTCTGCATCTGGGTGTCGGTCGGCCCACGCAGCGCACCGCTTTGAGCGCCGACTCTACCGCCCTTTCAGATTCACACACAGCCCCTCACCACAATTAGTTAGGCTCGCCCGCACGCCGCACGCAGTCCCTTCCTTGCGTGTGTGTGTCGTGGGGGCGCGGAGAGAGAGGGACACACGAATCTGTGACAACGGAACCGGATTTTATGCTAGTAATGCCGTTTCGAATGACCGAAAGAAAGGTGGCGGACACGAAGAACCTTGCCACTTGGAAAAAAGAAAGAAAGAAAGAAAAGAGACAACCCAAGGGAGGGATGGGAGGACGGCACGCCGCCACCACACAGGGATTTTAAGGAGAGGTGTGTGGTGCGCTAGCCACTTGGAGCACTCGGTCCGGGCGCCGGCGCACATTCTTTCGCGACTTCGGCTGTGAAGTGTACGATCGGAGAGTCGTACGATGCCGTGGCACGGAACACAGCTGCCTTCTGTTGGCGCAGCCTCGTCAACGGCGTGTCCTTCGGTACCCGGATTCGAGCCGAAGGACGCCTTCCCGACGCGATCGCCGCTTGTCGTCGCCGACCACCTCATAAACCTTGTGCGCGGCAAGTCTTTTGCTGAGATCGGCACCCGCAACGGTGACATCTTCGGCTGCGTCCGCCACTTCGCCGCCTCGGCTACCGCGATCGAGCTCGATCGGACCTACTGCCGCATGCTCGAGGCGAGAGGCTTCGACGTGCTCTGCCGCAACTTCATGTCCCTGCGGCCAGAAGAGATGCCGCCGGCCGACGTCCTTTACTGGTGGCCTCAAATGTCCTGGCACCAAAACGAGCAGTGGATGCGCCACGCAATCCACCTCTTCGAGTCGTCCAACCGCTCCGTGACCGTCGTCGTCGGCTTCGACTCTCACTGGGCGGCCGACATGGTCTCCCTGCCGCGGATGATGCGCCGGTTCCGCGGCCACGCCGTGCAGCGCCTCTTCTTCGACGAGGGAGGCACGTGGCGCGACGTGCTCCCCTCCATGCAGTCCGAGTTTCGGCCCGGCAGACGACCTCCTCCCATGCCGCCACCGCAATGACAGCACACTACTGAGGTGCTCTGAGTGATCATGTAGGTCACTGGGGTGTCTTTCATCTCGCCCATTTCACCATCGGCGCCGGCGGCGCTGCTCGCGGCACGTCGCCGTCGATCTCTTTCCCTGGCTGCGGCAATTTCCGCAACCCGATGAGCCCCCCGGATGAGCCACCGTGTCCGATGGCGACGTTCCGAGCCCGTGGAGGCTCGAAGCATGAACCGTTCTAGCTCTCGCCAGGGTCCTACCGCGTCGCTCACAACCGCTCAGCGCACACAGAGTTGCTGCTGTGTGTGTATATTGCACGCCGGCGGCACTACATCCACCTCGAACCTCGTGCCTCCGAGACGCGTGCTGTTTTTTTCGTGACGTTTCGTGAGACACTTTTGTGCCGTGTGTCTTTTGCCCTTTTCACTCATGTTGTGGCGAGCTTGATCAAAATGCATACCTTTACCTACGTAAGGTACGCATACATCTCGACTTCTCCGTCAACCGTCTCTGAGCGCGGCGCGCGAGAGACGAACTTGTGTAGCTGTGGAGTAGAAGCACGTGATCTCACTCTGTGTCATCTCTAGAGTCTACGCGCACGGTATCGCCGCTGCGGCTTGCCCGGCTTGGCAGCGAGGGGTGCAAACCATCTGGGTGCACCTCGCAGGGTAGACTCGACCGAGGATGAGAGGGGAGGCGGAAGCGCAGCAGCAACCGACGGGAACCTCTCCACGAGCGCGGCGCAGACCTGCGGGTAGGAAGTGGGTGGTCAACCTCGTGGAGGGTCCCGAGGGGTGGAAAACGACCCGGATCGCCTTGCGAGGTGTCCCTCGCCCGCGCGGGAGCGAAGAGAGGCTGTCGTGAAGCGCCAGCAGTGCCCCTCGCCCGCAGGCACTCTCGCCGCCCTGGCGCGACTCGAGCTCGCGGTGCTGGCGGTACATACGCTTTAGCCTGCCGGAGGGCACCAGGCGGAGTGAGATCGGAATGACGGATCAGGAAAGGCTCGACGCCTGCCTGCGGCGGGTCCGTTGCTCGTCCTTCGCGGTGAGGACAACCTCGGCAGAGCGCCTGCTGCCTCTCCCACCGCCGCGGTGCGAGTTCGACGGCGCAGCCTGTGCCGACGTTGTAGCAGCGACTGATTGCAAGCGATCCACAGTCGCAGGGAGGCGCGGCAGCAGCCCATCCACCGTCGCACGACACCACCGCCGCGACACCGCTCGGCCGAGCCGATGCTCTAGTTCCGCGTGTAGCTCGCGCAGGGTAGTGGACGACAAGTCCGTGTCTGCTAGGAGGGCCGACAGCACAGCGTCCGGGGAGGGACAGGAGGGACAGGAGGGACAGGACCTCGCGGCCATCTTGACGTGCCCAAGCGCTGCCAATCTCGAGTTTTTCTCTGCGAGAGGTAGTGTTATCGGACACGGCTCCGGGCTCTGATGCTGTGAGCCCCGGACCCTCCTTGCGAAGCACACACGCCGGTGTGGAAGGGGGAAGTCCGGAATCGCCGAGAGCAGCGCGTGGGAGCATGGCCTCGCGCTGGGAAAACTCTTTTGTCCTACTCACTCTTAGCCTTGAAGTACAACGACCTGGGTGTGAGCCAAGTCCGTGGCTAAGTCGAGTTGGGGCAGCGAGCGGCCTGTCAGGTCGACTCGCCCATGCCCAGCCCGCTTGTGGCTGCCCCGACACATGGCCTCTGGTGGACCTTGCTGGGCAAGGTCCACTTCGGCTAAATTCACGCCCCAAACGCTACTATTTGCTCAGGCCAAGTCCAGGCACACTAGAGGACTGCCTGAGCTCACAGGGGCATGTACTACTTACTATATTCACACCTACTATGCTGTTTTCACACCGATCATAATACGCGATCGCGCAGATCACCCCCTCAACGCCTGCACGGAAGATGGCTGACGTGGTGGGGTTGCACAACGACAGCTAGCCCCTTGGTAGGGCTTGTCATGAGCGGTCGCGTTGCTGACTTGGCCACTTTTAGGCGATCATGAAGCTGGCCAACGGGTGGAAAATGCTTGCTGCCAGTGGCTTCGTCATGAGGTCAGCCAGCTGGCCCTGTGTCCGAATATGGTACAGGTACACTCGCTTTGCCTCCTTGACTTGCTCGCGGAGGAAAGCAATTTTCGTTGCGACGTGCTTCATCCGTTTGGACGAGGTATTGCCGTCCGAAAGAAGGACCGCCGCTTTATTGTCGCAGTAGACTGGCATGGGCAGCCCGAGTTCTTTGACCGAGTGTTTGTCGAGGAAGTCGGGAAGCTTCTCCAACATGAAGGTTTCGGTGTCCGAGAGTGCGATCCCCGTTTGTACCGCCTTGGTTGCGATGTCCCATTCACCCTCGGCGGTTGAGATCGGCGTGGACCGGAGCCGTCCTGAGTGCCAGCTAACGAGGTCCTCGTTCTGGTAGATGCAGAAACCAGCTTGCGGCTTCTCCCCGCCATGCGAGGCGTCGGGGAAGATCTTGGGCGTGAATGGGTTAACGTCCACCTCGCGCAGCTCGGTGTATTCGAGGATGTGGTTGTTTAGCTCACCCGTTGCGTCGCGGCGGTAGGTTAGAGCCTTCGAGCTGGTCTTGGCCAGGTACTCGACTACCCCAATCGCACATTTGAAGTGACGCTCTCCTCCAGCCGAGACGAACTTGGAAAGGAGAGAATGGGCGAGGGCGATGTCGGGGCGCGAGATGGTTGCGAGCCATCCGAGCTTACCCACCAGTGCGGCATATTGAGGATGAATCATTTCGCCTTCTTCGAGGGGCGTGAGATTGCTGATATCCTCGGTACATGGCACGACACGACGCGATGGAGCGGGCTTCTTCGTGATGGCACGCGCCACATGTTGCGCAGCCTTGTCCGAGGCGGCCTCCGCCTTGGCGGCATCGGGAGAGATGAAGAGAGTGCCCTCAGCCTTGCGCCAGCGGGCGAGCTCCTTGTTCCACTCGGGCCCATTCCCTGCTCCTCCCATTGCCTGCTCCTTGACATAGTGGAGCGCGCCGCCCTTGTTGACAATGACTGTGCGGCTCGCGGTGCCGGGCACATGGTCCGGGGGAGGCTCCGACGGCTTCGAGAGGGGCATCTCGTGAGCGGAATCTTGCTGCTTCCGAAAGGTCCCGTGGAAGAGAGCACGTGAGCGGAGGAAGCCGAAGAGGTACTGGAAGGCAAGGCCAGTCAGCGCCTTGGCGTAGTCGCCGCCAGTGGTAGTGGTGTCGAGCGCGAACCCTTGAATGAAAAGGTGACTCCAGTGTTCCAACCGCACTTGTTGAAAGGAATTGAGTCGGTTGGTGAGGTCTGCTCCGGCAGTGAGCCGAGCAGGCGCTGCACTGCTCCAAGCGCTTGCTCAACCGGCTCTCCACCGATAGTAGAAGTGAAGGTGGCGAGAGACTCACTGATGGTGTCTCCTGCAAGCACCGAGTACGCAGTCGCATCGAGACCGGCATTCTTGCAGAGCTGTACCTCTTGGCCGAGTAGCCGCACCCCGTCACTGAAGGAGATGCATGGCGGCTGCCCGGCAGCACTGGATTTGAAGGTGCCGACTGCAGAGACCCTCTCAGGAGGGCCCTGGCCCGATGTCTTGCGCACCGGCCAACGGCTTTGGAGGCTCTTTGTTGAGGCGGAGCATGCTTTGCGAGGTGTCCTCTGGAACTGCTCCGCGAGCAAGCGGAACTCCCTTGCAAGGTGTAACGGTTGTCGGTTTCTCGATAGTAGTAACCGCTTCGGATAATCCTTCGATGGACTTGCACACGCTATAAGGTGTGTCCGGAGAGCGCTCCGGAATGTTTTCCGAGAGACCTCCCGAGGGAAGGTCTTGTGTGCGCTGCTTCTTGGCAAGCAGCATTTGGCGGAGGTCAGCGCTTGAGCGCGACCCTACCGCCGCTACCAATCTGCGAGAGGTAGTGTTATCGGACACGGCTCCGGGCTCTGATGCTGTGAGCCCCGGACCCTCCTTGCGAAGCACACACGCCGGTGTGGAAGGGGGAAGTCCGGAATCGCCGAGAGCAGCGCGTGGGAGCATGGCCTCGCGCTGGGAAAACTCTTTTGTCCTACTCACTCTTAGCCTTGAAGTACAACGACCTGGGTGTGAGCCAAGTCCGTGGCTAAGTCGAGTTGGGGCAGCGAGCGGCCTGTCAGGTCGACTCGCCCATGCCCAGCCCGCTTGTGGCTGCCCCGACACATGGCCTCTGGTGGACCTTGCTGGGCAAGGTCCACTTCGGCTAAATTCACGCCCCAAACGCTACTATTTGCTCAGGCCAAGTCCAGGCACACTAGAGGACTGCCTGAGCTCACAGGGGCATGTACTACTTACTATATTCACACCTACTATGCTGTTTTCACACCGATCATAATACGCGATCGCGCAGTTTCTTCCTGGCTGTTGTGGCTCTTGCGGACATTCCCGTAGGATTTTTCTCTTCGACTTCGCAGGGTTGTTTCTTTCAACCTCTCTGTGAAACATGTGGGCGCCGCCCCTCGTGCGACCAGCGGTGCTTTCGATCTTTGAGATTGAGCTCGCGACCTTTTGCACGCATCATCTTCAGATCCTCGAATCTCCGGAGGAGACAAAAATCCCCCCGATCTCGCGCGATGCGATCCAACAACCTCCGTCATACTTTGCACGTTTATGTAGGCTCGTACGCCGCTTGTAGGGGGAGTGGGTTGACGCTCGTCGCGGAGGGAACGCCCGGCGCAGGCAGAGGCGCGCAGGATACCGAGGATCCCGTTGAGCAGTGGACGGAGGCTCGCCTCTCCGTAAGAGGACGACGACGCGTGTGCTGAATGTTGCTGGACACGAGAGATGGGACTGCGTCCCGCCCCCGCTTGCCCTGCCTCATTCATTCGCGAGCGGCCTCTCTCTCGTTTTATTCTGTGACGGCGCCGACGCCTGCCGGATTGTTGTTGCCTGCCGGCCGATCCTTTGATCTCGCGGCTTCTCATGCAGCTTCTCTTCCCGGCCCCTCCAACTTGTCGTGAAGAAAGAAAGAAAAGCAATACCCCAGGGAGCCGTGTAGCGTGTTGTGAGATGCGACCAAGAATTGGCTATAGGGCTGCAGAAGCCGCGTATACCAGTCGTTCTTCACACGGCCATCCGCGCAGAGCAGATCGTCAATGAGCTTGCCTGCGGCGAGCGCCGCGGTCGAGTCCACGCTCCACGCGGACGGAGCTAAGTAAGTAAGACCTAAGATAAGTGCCTCGCCGTCCTCGCAGGAGTCGCTTAGGCGGCTCCCGTGGTTAACCTGTGTTAGTGAGTGCCAGTGCGCGCCAGTCCCGTGCCTTGTGTGTGATAAATCGGAACACTCAACAACCGCGAAATTTCTTACGCGGGAGGGCAACTTCTTGTGGCGCGCGACGCTTGTCCTATACAGCCCAGCACCAGAAGAGATGTCTGTCACAGGCGCGCAGATAGAGGCTCCTTCCTCCGCGGAGACTCACCGCACGCACGACGCGGAGGTGGTGGTTGACGATGACGACGACGACGATCCTTCAGCCGGCGCCGCGGGCCCCGTCTCCTTTTGGCCGCACCGCTTCAGCTGGCGTAAGCTCTGGCGGTTTACGGGCCCGGGTTGGCTGATGTCGCTCGCCTACCTAGACCCGGGCAACCTCGAGAGCGATTTGCAGCAGGGGGGCTACACTGGCTACCAGCTCCTGTGGGTGCTCTGGTGGGCGACGGTGATGGGCTTCTTACTGCAGGAGATGGTGGCGCGGCTAGGCATCGTGGCTGGGCGCGACCTTGCACAGACGGTGCGCTCCGAGTATCCACGGTGGCTGTGCTACGTTGTGTATGTGATGATGGAGTGCGCCGTCATCGGCGCGGATATTCAAGAGGTCGTGGGCTCCGCGATCGCGCTCAACCTGCTGACCGGGGGCTTTGTGCCGGTCGTGGTGGGCTGCGCCATCACTGCGCTCGACACGTTCACCTTCCTGGCGGTGGAGTACTTGGCGCGCGAGGACGGAGCGCGCTGGTCCCGCCACCTGTCCCCCCCCCACACCCCGCCTGCCACGCCTCGTAGGGCGTGCGCTACCTCGAGGCGCTCATCTGCGTCCTCATCGGCGAGATGGCTTGCCTTCCGCGTCAGATGTGAACGGCGTCTCTTCACACCTTCAGCTGAGAGTAGGCACGATGGCGGCCTGCTTCTTCGTCAACTGGGGGCAGAGCTCCACCGACGGCGCTGCGCTGCTGAAGGGCTGGGCCGCGCCGCTCGTCCCATCGTATGGCCTGACGCAGGCCGGCACTGCCTACCCTTGACCCTTACCCTTACCCTACCCCTACCCTAACCCCTCGTATGGCCTGACGCAGGCCGGCACTGCCTACCCTTGACCCTTACCCTTACCCTTACCCTACCCCTAACCCATCGTATGGCCTGACGCAGGCCGGCACTGCCTACCCCTGACCCTTACCCTACCCCTACCCCCAACCCTCGTGCGGCCTGACGCAGGCCGGCACTGCCTACCCCTGACCCTTACCCTTACCCTACCCCCAACCCTCGTGCGGCCTGACGCAGGCCGTCAGCGCGATCGGCGCAGTCATCATGCCGCACAACCTCTACTTGCACTCGAGCCTGGTGCTCTCGCGCAAGGTGCAGCGCGCGTCCAAGCAGAAGGTGTACGACGCGATCTGGTACGCGCGCATCGAGTCCGCCGGGGCGCTGCTCGTCGCGTTCCTCATCAATCTGGCGGTGGTGGCGACGAACGCCAACCGCTTCTTCTCGGCCGACTGCGCCGAGATCGAGCAGGGCCCATACGCGTGCATGAGCCAGGCGAGAGGAGCCTTCTAGGAACCTTCTAGGCCCGTACGCGCATGAGCCAGGCGAGAGGAGCGAGCGAGAGGAGCCGAGAGGCGGCCGAGGCACAGCCGGGCCAGCGCGGGGCGGGACGTCGGCCCGCGCCCCGCAGCCCTCCCCCCCGGGGGGCCACCCTCGCCCCTCCACCACCCTCGCCCCTCGCCCTCGCCCCTCGGCTACCCAGGCGGCCTTCGACCAGTCTGACCTCGAGCGTGCCGACGGCATGGGCGGGCCGTGCAACTTTACAGGCGACGCGACGGGGCAAGGCGTGTGTGGAGAGCTCGGCCTGCGGGCAGAGGGGTTCGCGCTGCAGCACTCCCTCGGCGACGCGGCCCTGTTCGTCTGGGTGCTCGGCGGGACCTTCCCCGAACTGTCTCGGAAGCTTCCTGTAGGCGACGCGGCCCTGTACGTCTGGGCGCTCGGGCTGTTTGCGGCCGGCCAGTCGTCGACGATGGTGTGCACCTACGCCGGGCAAGTGATCATGGGCGGCATGGTCCAGATCAAGCTGCGCCCGTGGAAGCAGATTGCGATGACGAGAGCCCTCGCCCTCGGGCCGGCGCTCGCGGTGGCGGTGAGCACGTACGGCGACCAGCGGCTCTTCAACCGGATAAACGAGTACCTGAACGTGCTGCAGTCGGTCCTCCCCTCGCCCGATGCCGCGGCGGTGCTGCGAAGGTGCGATCGGCGTCCCATTGACACCTGAGCTGTGAGCAGGTCCTCCTCCCCTTCGCCATGCTGCCCGCGCTCCACTTCACGCGCTCCACGCGCATCCTCGGCTGCTTCGCCTCGGGCGGCCTCTACTCGTACCTCACTTTTGCGCTCGCCGCGCTGGTCATCGCGGTCAACATCGTGCTCGTCGTCGAGTTTGTCGACGTCATGCCCGTGGGCGCCGTCGTCGCGGTCTGCGTCTTCGGTGTCTTCTACTTTTGGATCTGCGCCCGATTGGTCGTGGACGACCCAATCGCACGCGCTCAGCAGCTCTTTACTCGCGGCACCGCTGCTCGCCGCCTCGTCCGCGACCACCCGACCGTGCGAACGGCAGCCTCTGCCCGGGAGGCGATGCTGGAGTCGTACCCAGCCCTTCAGGCGACCTCTTGGGCTGTAGGCCGCAGCCGACCCCGTCGCAGCTCCACCGCCCGTCGACGACGCCCGCGGCGACGGCTAGGTCGGCGCAGTGGCAGAAACCGCCGCAGCTGCAGACAGCGCGCACTCCTAGCTACTACGTGTTGTCGCTTGTTGTCCCCGTACGTTCTTGTCCGTATCATCGGTGTGAGTGTTGCGCTGCCGCGGCGCGTGGCGTTGGGCGTGACGAGGTGGCGGTTTCTTGTTGAGATCGGTCTCGGCCGCAGAGATACAGTTTTTTATTTTTTACCCGTCGCAGCGTCAGCGCGACAGGGACCCAATCAAACACTAAACACGACACTCCACCACGACCCTCTCGCGCGCACTTTCGCTCGCGCGCGAGCCGCGCGAGACTCTCGCGCGGACTGCGGAGTGCGGTCTCCGACGAGAGCAGGTGTCCAGGCCGAGCGTTTTTGATCTCTCGGTAAGTGGGGGGCCGAGCCGCCTCGGGGTGGCGGGCGGGCGGGCGTGTTGAAAAACAGAAAACAGAAAACAGAGGGGGGCCAGGGCCCCCACTACGATTAGACACACGCACCTGGCTCCTGGGACAAGGCGAGAACGCGCAGCATGTGCAGTACCGTTCAGCGGAGGGGGGGGGGGGAGCCGAGGGGGCGACGTCCCGACACGGCAGCTTGGAGCTGATCCCGGGAGAGAGAGAGACGAGCGATGGCACGCCCCCAATGACCCTAGACAGACATGACGAGCCGACAGCGATGCAGCGGCAGCGAAGGCGGCGAGGAGAGCCCGCGCTGCAGAGCTCCGCCGGGCGGCAGCAGAGACATCGGCGGACGGGGGAGCACGGGACACGTCGGCATAGGAGCCAGGGGGGTGGGAGAGTTGAGTCGTGCAGCAGCACCGTCTCGGCAGCGAGGCCGACGATGGCGACGGCGGCGACGTAGGCGAGACGGTGGCGAGGGTGGCGACGGTCACGATGAAGGTGGCTTGACGAAATGGATGACGCCATCGCGCAACATGACATCCTCGATGTCGTCGTCCTCTAGGGACTAGGCGGCGCGCAGCGCCGCTCTCGCAGGCTGGTTTTGACGGTTTCTACACTTTGTTTTTGTTTTCAGTCTAGGGGGCCCGACCCCCTCAGAGGCGGCGGGCGGGCGCCCACTTACCGAGAGATCAAAAACGCTCGGCCCCCCCACCGCGGCGTGCGCGGTGCGCGCGGCGTGCGCAGCCCGGGGGCCGCGCGACATGTGCGATATATGTGCGCGTGCCGCGTGTTGCGAGAGGGACGCTGTAGTAAGCGTAGACAATGAGAGCGGGGACCACGAGCTCGGTCACTGTCACACGGCCACGACCTTACGGGCCCGCCCAGACGCAGAGAGAGGACACAGAGAGAGCTGGCCGACCCGGCGACCCGCGACCGCGCACACTCTAGGACTCTCTAGCTCCAGGTCATCACGCACGCGCACGCACATGCAGTACAAAGCGATAGACGCCAACGCAACATGGACATGGAGACACGACATGCATCACATGGGCATGCATCAAACATAGCTTTCGTAGCGGCCGGCCCAGCTGGTCGGCAGCGATGAGTCCAAAAGCAGAACTGGGCGTCCCGGTGGACGCAAGGAGAGAAGTCAACTGTGGCCAAAGTAGCGGTCGATGAGCTGCTCAATGCACTCCTCGCGCGAACCCGCGTTCTCCGCGAGAGCGCACAGGGTCGAATGCGGCAGCCGTGCCTGTCGCGCGGCCGTGAGGAGTTATTGGCGGTGGGTCGGCGTGATCACTCGCCGGGCGGTAGGCCGAAAGGGCGGCTCGGCATCCTTGCATCTAGGCAGCGCACCAGCACTTCGTGCGGCTCGTTCAGCTTCAGGAGCCAGACCAGGCGCTTCATGTGCAAGCCGTCGGGGGAGACGGACAGGCCGAGCGCCGAGAGCGCCGATGCAAGCACCTCTTCTGGCACCTCCCGCAGCCGCTGCGCAAAGGTCTGCCGCCGCACCGCTGGCTGACGGTCCACCGTCGGGGCAACCGGCTCGACCCGACCCGGCCTTGCGGTCGGTGTCTGGAGGTGTAGCCGGACCTTTGGTGATGACGGCGGCGGCGGCAGCTTTGGCGGCACCGTGGGTGTCAAGGGCCGCAGCGGGGGCGGTGAGGGGTCGAGAGGGCTCGCAGCCAGAGGTGCTCTGGCACTGATAACGGCAGGGCAGGAACGCGGTCGGCTGCGCGCAATCGATGAGAGGTCTGGCGAAGGCGGGCGTTTGGTGCGAAGTGCCATTTTGAGGACCAACGCAACATGCACGGCGGGCAGGCTGCACAAACCTGCGACAATGAAATGGGACGAAGATTTTGGATCTTTGCCCCCCCCGACCCCCCCCCCAGAGAAAAAACAACTGCGGCTGCTGCTTCTTCGCGTGCTGGGGAAAGAAATAAAATGGCTTAGGACTGGCAAACCGTCACCACACGGCACACTTTCCCAGCACTTTCCCAGAAAGTGCGCGAGCGAGGCCGAGGGGCGAGGCTAGCGCCTAGCCGTCCTCACGTCCGCTTTCCATGGCGGCCCGCTGCTCCTATTGCCTCCAGTTTCCTGCCCCTGCGTAGGGGAAACCCGGCGAGCCTGGGGAACTAGGAATTCGTTCGGAACTAGCCGGGGCGCCCCGGGGCAGTCTAGCAGTCTAGGGGGCAGTCGCCAGTCGGAGAAGGTGAAGGGCAACTCCGTGCACTGACGGTCGGCCGTCAGAAAACACGCCTGCGAGAGAGAGAGAGAGCTCTCGCCTGCGTGGACCGCGTTACACCAATCCTCGCTACCCAACGCGGCATAAGGATATCCACCTCGATCGAGAACCTCTTGGAGCACTTGGAGTGCAGTCATTAACCTCACATCCAGGGCCGGGGAGCTATGAAGCGCACCCAGCGGGCCGTATGATCGGCATCGGGCTGCGGGAGAGGTGGCGATTTTTTTCTTTTTTCCCGCCCCTGCACAACCGCTTCATCGTCCGGGTGTGTATGTTGCAGCCAGCCAACGCCGAGTCGTCCGCGGACCTCACAGCCAACGCCGCTGCGCCGAGCGGTGAGCTCGACTTCACCTCTCGCCTCCCGTCCGCGTGGCGCGTCGGCGCCATCATTGGCGGCACGGGCTCGGGCAAGACACGCGCGATCGAGGCGCTGCGGGCGGCTGGGCTGGTCGATGCCACCGCACCTTACGAGTGGCCAACCGACTCCGCGATTGTGAGCGCCATCGCCGCGAGTCATCTCGTCCGGCAGGCCGCCGGGAAGGGCACCCTCGCGAGTGTCTGGTCGCAGCAGGTGAATGCAGGTCCGCCGGAGAGCGTGTGTGCCGAGCTTGCGATGGGGCGGCTCGGCTGCGTCGGGCTCAACTCGCTGCCCGTGTGGCTGCGGCCCTACCAAGCGCTATCCAACGGGCAGCGCGCCCGAGCCTCCATCGCTGTCTCGCTGACGAGCCGAACCGCGGTGGACGACTTTGGCTCCACTGTCGACGCGCAGAACGCCTCGGTGTGCGCCGCTGGCATCGCCCGCTCGGTGCGGCGCAAAGGGCTGCACAGCGTCGTCGTAGCCTCGGTGCACACGGAGCTCTTGCCGTGGCTAGGGGCGGACTGGGTGCTCTTCCCGGCGACAGGGGCACTTCACATCAACCCTAACCCGGGCGCGAAGCCGGCGGTGCTGGTGCGGTACGACGAAGAGGTCACGGACGCGGCTTTCGTGGCCGGGCTCAGCCGCCCGGTCGCACCGCCGCCGCTCGAGCGCGCGACGAGAACGTGCGCTGCCGCGGCTATCTTTGGGCAGACTGGCGCAGCACCGCCGCAGAGGTTTGTGTCCAAGGTGAGGGTCGACGCCGCGACTGAGGCTGCCGCCGTCGCCTTCGAGATTCGCTTCGACGGCACCTCGGCCGAGTTTGTGGTGCCGGCCTTGCCGCCCCTGCCGCCTGAATGGCGCATCGGGCTGCTGGTCGGCGAGTCCGGCTCCGGCAAGTCCTCTCTGCTGCGCACGATGCGCCCCGATGCGGGCGCTGCTTTCGCGGCGCTCGGCGGCGAGGGCGATGACTCAGCCGCCTGGCCGGCGGACGCGCCCGCAGCCTCTGCACTGCGGGGCGGCGCCTCTGCGGTGGCGGCGTTTGGCGGCAGCGCCATCGCTGCCGCCGCGCAGAGCCGCCCGTTTGGCGCCCTCTCGCGCGGCGAGCGCACGGTCGTCGCACTCGCAAGGCTGTGCGAAGAGGCGGGCGGAGAGTCGCACGAGGGGTCTGGCGCAGAGCCGACCGTGGCAGACGAGTTCACGTCCTTCGTCGACAGGTCGACGGCGGCCGCCGCCGCCGCCGCCACCCGCGCCGCGTGGCTCCGGCGAGGCAGCGGCCGACTGGTGTGCGCCAGCGTGCACGAGGATGTGCTCCCCGCGCTGCTCCCCGACTGGTCCTTCGACCTCAAGACGCGCAAGCTGACCGTCTACTCGTGGGACCCGCGCGACCTGCTTCGCCCGACGCCTGCGCCGCCGCCCACGCCGTCACCTGCGCAGGTCCACCCGGAGCCCGCGAGTCTCTTCGCCCCGCCTGCAGTCGAGGTTCTGGTGCGGCAGACCATGAAGCAGCCGAACGAGCTCGAGGTGGCTCGCAAGGCGGGCGACCGCGAGGCGGTGGATTACAAGCTGCGCCTCTGGGACCGGTTCAAGGCGCACCACTACATGGACTCAGGGCTCAACCCGGCGGCCACGTGCGCCGTCGCGAGGTGGGGGCGCACGCCGGTGGGCTTCGTCGCCACGATGCCGCAGCCCGGCAGATTCGGTTTCGACCCGCGGCTGCTCTGCCGCGAGCACCGACTCGTCGTGCTGCCCGAGTTCCAGGGCCTCGGGATCGGATCGCGCCTCTCGGACGCGACAGCCGCGCGCTTCGTGCGGCGCGGCAAGCGGTACACCTCGAGGAGCGGCCACTTGACGCTCCGCGTGCACCGCGAGCGCTCGCCGCTCTGGAAAGCGCCCGACTGGCAGGGCGAGCACGGCCGCAAAGCGGCAGACAAGGGCATGGGCTTCGAGAAGAAGGGGCGAAAGGTGCCGGCATCGGCGGCGGCGGGAGCCGACGCCGATGCCAAGGACCGGACTCTCTTCTCGTTCGAGTACGTGGGGACGAAGGAGGAGCAGGCGGAGAGCCGTGCCGCCGCCGCAGCAGGACTGGACAAGACGGCATCTTCTCCCGCCGCCACATCGGCCTCTGGCACCGCCGCCGCCCTGTCCGCCGGCGCTGCCATCGCCGCAACCCCTGGCGCCGCCGGCAAGCGCTCGGCCTCCGCAGAGGCGCCCGACCTCCCTCTGGCCAAGCGCGCAGCCGGCGTTGCCTCCGACCCTGTCGACCTCGAGGACGAGTCGCAGCGGGCGGCGCCGCCGGCGCGCAGCGCCAAGCAGGTCGGCCTCGCGGCCTTCTTCTCCTGCGCCGGCCCGGGCTCCGCTTCGGCCCCCGCTGTGCCTGCGCCGTCGCGGCCTCGCCCGCCGCTGCTGCCACGCCCCGCGGCCAGCTCGCCCGCTGCCGCGCCCGCGCCGAAGAAGGAGCCGGGGCAGCGCAAGGTCTACAAGTGCAGCCAGTGCCACAAGCCGAAGAAGGGTTGCGGCTGCGAGCGGAAGAGCAAGAGCAAGTGAGGGCTTGGGCAGGGCGCAACGCACGCCGCGGCGCGCGGCCCGCGGGCCGGGCGAGTCCTCGTTAGGGCGAGTCGTCCCATTTTGCATTTACTGGAAGCATGCACGCGCGCGGACGCGCAGCAGTGCGGCGAAATCGATGGCGCTCGGCTGAGTGAGCAGCGGGGGGGACACGTGTGTGGTGTGAGTCCACGGATCGTTCTCTTTGACGACATGACAAGCTGAAGTACAAAAAACTCTATATACAAAGGGCAAAGCGGCAGCTGGCAGGGGGGTGGGGGGGTGCGGCTGCGGGCAGCCGCGCCGTCAATTAATGTACCAGGACGCCTCCCTCGGTCGACACCCGCCCGTCGGCAGGCGAGTAGTCTCCGAGTGCTAGTCGGCACAGGCCCATATGACACACCCCGGCTTGTGCGAATACGGCACTGGCCTCGTGAAGCTGATCGGCGCCCTGATCTCCCACGCGTAGGTCGTTCGGTACGGCAGCGCAGCGCCGCTCACGCAGTGCTCGGGCGCGCGCCGCACCCACTCGGAGGAGGGGAGCGGGCCGTGGCACGCCACGAACTCGACCGAGCCTGCCGGCGCGTGACGGAGAGGGGCGCGTGTGGGGACGGGGTTCAGGGGTCGGCGGGCCCGCGGGGAGCGTGCGGGTGGCACCAAAGACAAGCCCGCCGGCGCCAGAGAGCGCGAGGTAGAAGCGTTCGCCGGAGGGCTTCGCGCAGCGCGTGCCGCGGATCTGCCGCAGGGAGGCGGGGCGAAGGTCTGTAGGGTGGGCCGGCTCCGCCCATGGCCCACCACTGCGGCCTCCAACCTCGAGTGTCTTGACGCCGTCGAGGATGAGCGAGAGCCACGGGTTTTGAATGATGAGAATACTCGCGCCCGACTGAGGCGCAGGGAGGCCAGGCGTGAGCGGTTAGGACAGCAGTGATCGGGGCGGTGGGACGACGCCTCGAGCGGCGCTCCGTCGGCGAGCACCAGCGGCAAGATTGGCGGCCGCAGCGAGCACAGCGGAACAAATTTGGAGGGCGCTCGTGCCAACTTGCTCGCGCTGCTTTCGAGCAGAGCTGGATCGCGGTGCGCCGGGCCCGCGCCAGCGGTTGCCGCTTCCAGCCCAGTGAGTGCCGGTGAGCCAGATCGTGGTTTCTTAGCGGCGTGGCAGGGCTCCGCCAGCGGCTGGCACGGCTGCAGCGGCTCGGCCAGCGACCCAGCCTGGCCGCGGCGGCGCAAGCTGTACGTCATGAGCTTCACAACGCCCGGATCGTTCAAGCACGTCTCTGAACTGGCACGCCAGCACCTCGAGCGCGCCGCTGAAAAAGATGTTTTTTGTGGACTCTAAAAGGAAAAAAGCAAAGACATGACGCCAAACACACGATTGCACGCACCGCACCGCACCCAGCACCCCCCCGCCGCCCCCCCGACCCCCGCCCCGCCTAGGTGGGAAAGAGATGAGGAGATGGGACAGCGAAGGAGGAGCCCAAACACGTATGGGAGGTTTCGTTGATGCGCCACGCTGCCCGGCGTCTCTCACTTTCCGGGACAGCCCCGCCCTTGTGAGGCAGGAAAGTGACGGCTACCCCGTACGCCCTGTTGCTTCTACTGGCCGCCAACTCGCGACGCGCCGAAAAAAAAGACTTTGATTATTGGGGTTTTTTTATTTTTTAATGTATGTGGCTCTTACGTACATTCCCGGAGGAGGACTGCTGTTTTTACACTCGCGCGCGCGCACACTGGACGAAAAAGATTTTTTTGTGGACAGGATTTCGGATTCCTGCTTCGCTCTAGAGTCTAGTGTGTCTTCACGCCGCGCCGATGGTTGTCAGAGCTCCTCCCTGGGTGCCCTTTTCGCCGCGCGTCCAGTCCGAGTCGCCACCCTCCTCGTCTTGTCGCGCTGCTTCTCCGTCGGCAGCGCGAGCTCGCCCCGCGCTGCGGCCGCCTCCGCCCTCGCTGCCACCTCCTCCCTCGAGCCCTGCGTCTCTAGCCCGGCCCGCTCGAGCAGCGCCCGCAGCTTGACGGTGGGCAAGCCGTGCACCGGGCTCGCCGCCGCCGCCGCCGCTGGCTCGGCCGTTGATGGTCGTGCGCCGCCCGCGCCTTCCGCCGGATCCACCACCGCCGAGGCACGACCGCCCCTCGCACCGCCGGCGGCCCCCGGGGCCCTCGCCCGGCGGCTCGTCCTTGCCTGGCCCCGCCCCTCCACCCTCTCCTCCTTCGCCGCGCCGCCGACCTTGGCATCGGCGCCGCCCTCTGCTCTCTCCGCCGCCTTGGCGCGCCTACAGCGACCACCACCGGAGCCTCCAACCAGCCCGGGCCGAAAACGACTGCCCGCCCCGCCCCGCCCCCGCCAGCCTCGCTTGCTTGGGCTTGCGCGCCGGAGACTTGTAGCCGTCGCCCGAGGCCACCGGCCCACCGTCGAGCGCGAGCCGCGCCACGGGCCGCTCCGACCACAGCTCGGCGAGGACCGGGACGTCGAAGGCCTCGCCCGCCCTCACGCCGGCGGGCACGTCGACCTTGATGACGCTCCCCGCCGTCTCGACGAGGAGCAGGTGGCCTCCGTGCGATCCAGCGGGAGCGGTGATCTTGAGGCTTCGGGTCGAGCTTCGGGTCCCACTCGAGGCCCGCGGAGGCGCCACTCTGCCGGCGGTCGTGCGGCTGGGCCCAGCGCCGGCCGCAGGCCCGCCCGAGCCGCAGGAGCCGCAGGCCACAGGGCATGCTTCGATCACGCGCGGGTGCGCCGTCGCCGGCGGCCGGTCGAATATCTGGTCAAAGCGGCTACCGCACTGCTTGAGCGCAGCGAGCTGCGCGCATGAAACCTCGGGGCTGGGGCAGCCGGCATCGTCGGTACACTTGAAGGGGCCGCCGTCGGCGCAGTCCTCAGCCCGTGCAGCAAGAGCCAGAAGAAGGCCCGAGAGGCGGGCGCCGATGCGGTGGGCGGCCATATACACCTTTTTTCCGGCAGGGGAAGGCGCCGTGATCAAGAAACTTTTTTGCGGTAGGAAAGAAATCCGGCTGCCTACCCTTATAAGTCTCTTGTGCCGGAGCGCCGACCGCTCTTGAAGCCGCGAACCAGCTCATTCAAACTCGGCCGTCCCGCCGCAAATCGTCGGCCTCAGCTCGGGAGCCACGGCGCGCATGGGGGGCAAGGAGCGAGAGCGCGAACCGCCACCGGCCACCGACGACGAGGATGCGACGCAGGCGACCACGCAGGAAGGCGACCACGCAGGAAGGCGTCGTGGGGGAGTCATCCGGCAAGCGCAGCCGACAGCACAGCATCACCAGATCACCGCTGGGCTCGCAAGCAGCGCAAAGCGAAGGGCCGCCGCCATGTCGCAAGGGGAGCGGGCGACAAAACGAGTGGCCGACCAGCAGCGACGCCGCCGTCAGCAGCGTGAGAGCAAGGAATCACAGCCAGCACCGATCACCTTTGACGCTGCGGTGGCAAAGGTCGCGTCGGAGGCAGCTCTCGGCGTGGTTGAGGTTGAGGATTTCCGCGACTGGCTGCTCGACCCACAGCAAGCTGGACAGCCGATTGATGGTGAACGCATCACCGAGTGGCGCGCATCCGAAGCGTACGAGCGCGCCCGGCTCGAGTACATGGACGGTTGCATGTGCGAGGGTGCGTGCACGTGCACCTACGATGGCGTAGGCATCGCCCCAGACGTGCCCGGAGTCACCTGCGACTACTTCGACGAGGCGCTTTTGGAGCCGCGCGCCAACGACGGGCAGCCATCAGGCGTGGATTGGGTGCCGGAGGGCTGGGATGGCGTCGAGGCCGATCGGCATGAGGAGCGGGCTAAACTCGAGCGTGCCACGCGGATTGAGCGAGATCAGCAAGACGACCTCGCACACGCTTCAGAGAAAATTTGAGTGCAAGATTCTGAGACTGGTGATTGGCGCCTCTCCACCCGTGGCAGCATTGCCAACTTTCGCAACCGCCGTGTACAAGCTTACACGGGCGATGCTGCTGAGGCCGATGCATACCTGCGCGACCCGGGTTCAGAGGCGTCACAGGCATGGCTCGAGGCGCAGCTTGCTCCAGGCGGTGGAGGTCCGACACCGCCTGGCTCGCCCGCCTACGGGGATGACTGTTACTTCTCCTACCCGGACTCGCCAGTGAGGCGGCCACTCGAGGAGGCGCCTGACGACAGCGACGCATATGAGCTCGACCAGGAACGCGCGCTGGAGTTGCAGGGGCGCATCTCCTTATTTTACGGCCGGCCTTGGGACGAGGTGCCGAGAGGCGCGACGGTGCCAGTGACTTGCGAGTGGACCATCGCATCATTCAGCCGACAGCAGCAAATGCAACGCCCGCTCTCGCCCGCACCGGTAGCCACGGACTTTGACATTGAGGACAAGTTTCTGCAGGAGCGTGCGCGGTGGTTCCGCGACCACGGCGGTGGCGGCGAGCTGGACGGCTCGACACGAAAGCAGAACGAGGCATTCCAGCGTTTGAAGGACCGCCTCTTTAGCCTTCCCCGCGACCGCGCAAACCCGTCGGGCACACCGCGTGCCTCGCAACGCCGGGCGTCGGGCGCCGGATCAAGCACCGACCCCCTGTGAGACTGTGGATGATGCCTGGGACTCGAGCCTGGTTGGAATGGAACATCGGAAGAGCTTTGCATTACGAATTATGAATTGCAAAAATGTTACGAGCGAGGTAAATCCGATGGCGATGCCGTTTGCAGCACTCTCGAACGTCGGTGGAGGGGATAAGGGATAAGTGAGTACCTGTGTGCCAGGAAAAAGGCGGGTACCCGCTGCAGGTCCCACACTAGTATGCGAAAAGACAGGGAAGAAACACAAGTGCGCGGAAGGCGGCGCGAGCCGCTCAATCGCCCTTGCTAACCCCCTGCAAGATGGGTTGCGGCTCCAGCAAGGGCGCCCAGACCGAAACTGACGACGACGGCACTCTGGGTTTGGCCGGGGATGATGAGCGAGCCGCCCAGAGATCTCGCGCCGTCTCTGCCGCTCGCCTTGCCGCGTCCCAGTCGACACTCAAGCAAGCTGGGCCACGCAAGCTTTCGTTCCTGACGGTTGATCCGGACCGTGCCCACGACAAGAGGATCGGCGACGATCTCGGCATCGACTCACGCGTGGCCAACGCCAAGAGGCGGCTCCGCCGCCTCCGGGACTGCATCGACGACGTCAGCGCCCTGTATGCCAGCTACTCAAAGGACAGCGCCGCGGACAAGAAGGGTCGGCTGACCCTCGTGCTCCCCGAACTGAGCGAGTGGGTATCGGAGGGTGCCTGGATCGGTGCGCCCGCCGTTGGCAGCGCCGTGGGGAGCGACGCCACGCGCCTCGTGGCGATTGCGCAGCTGGTGAGGGCGGCGCGGGCAGGCATGGGCGAGAAAGCTGTGGCAGAGCTGCACGCCGCGCGGAGGCGAGTCGCCGAGGGCGGCATCGAGGTGCTGCTGGCGCTGGAGAACCTGGTGCTAAGCGCATCGGTCGAGCGGGAGGCTGCGGCCCGCGCTGTCAGAAAGGCCACCGCCGCGCGGGCCGCCTGCGAGGAGGAGCTGGAGAAGGCGCGCGGCGCGAGCGAGGCGAGGCGAGAGGCCGCCGTCGAGAAGGCGACGGCGGCGCTCTACGCGGCGGAGAGCGACATCTTCCGGGCCGAGGACTTGCGGAGGAAGGCGGACGAGGAGCTTCAGCGCCTGCACGGCGAGGCGACGGCCGAGGCGCTGCGCGCTGCGGAGACGGCTCGCGTGGAGGCGGAGGCGAAGGTGTGTGCGGGGGCCGAGGCGGTGCGGGCAGCGTACGGCGGCCTCGCCGAGGGAGTGGCGAGGGTGCTCGCCGCGCAGGGCGCCTCTCCGGCGCCCGCGCCTCGCAGAGAGGAGCCGTCGGGCGAGGAGCCGCTTGGTGCGGACGGCCGTGGTGCCCTCGAGGGCCGTTTCGCCGCCCTGCTGGCGCAATGGGCCGTCGCGCGGCGGCGGTGCGACAAGGCAAAGGCGCGCTGCGAGGCCTTCCGCAGGCACGGGCTCGAGGTGGCCGCGGCGCCGCGAGGCGAGGCGACGCGGCTCGGAGAGCTCGCCTCCGCCTGCGAGGAGGAGAGGGCGGCGGAGGAGCTGCGGGCGCTCCGGCTGTCGGACGAGGAGCGAGTCGCCGCGACTGCGGCGTGCGACCGCGCGATCGGCGGCCTCCAGCGCGAGCTCGGCAAGCTGGCCGCGCGTCTGAGCGCGAACTGCGACATGGTCTCGCAGCACCAGAAGCTGTTCAAGAAGCTCGCCGCGACGGAGGCGAAGGTCAAGGCGGCGGCCAAGCAGGCGGACGGCGGTGAGCCGCTCGAGGCGCGCCGCCGCCGCGACGAAGCGCCCCCGAGACGAGTCGCGGCGAGCGTTGTAGGGTCGAAGGGGGACGCGCGGCGCGAGGCGGCGCTGGCGGCGCTGCGTGAGCGGGCAGACGCAGAGCGCGCTCAGCTGGATGCGTCGGCTGGCTTCATCGACAGGCGGGCGGAGGAGCTGAAGGCGGAGGCGGACGCCGGAGCCGCGCGCGCTGTCCGCGAGCCGCTGGCGGTGTGTGTGCGCGAGTACGCGCTCCTCTTCACCACGCGCTGCGCTTCGGCAGAGGGCGTGGCCTCGTGCAACGCTGTGCTTGCGGCGAGCGGCGAGGCGGTCGCTGAGGCGGCCTCTGACACCACCGCTTCGTCACCTCGCGACCCCTCTCCACCTCGCGACGAGACGGGCGCCCAGCGTGTCGAGTCCGCTCCAGGCACCCCAGGCAACCCGTTCGACGGCGAGGCCGAGCTCGAAGCGACGGCCAGCGAGGGCAGCGAGGACTGAGACGGCTGCGACTCGAGGCAGTTTCCCGCTCGCGACAAGGAGATTCCGGAAGGGGGTGGGGGGTGTCAGCTACATTTATAGATCAGTCACAGGGTCACAGCTGAGGTTGTGTGCCGCGGTACGCAGCGTAGATGGTAGGGGTTCTCGAGAGTCGCTCGCGCGCCGTCCTCGCGAGAAAGCTTACGGCGGTGACTAAAGGTCCGCACACCGCAGCAGCGAGCAGGGCTCGCCCGGGCCGGCCGCACACACCGGCACGCGAGAGACGGGTGTCTCGTGTGTGTGTGTGTGTGTGTGTGCGGGCGCGAGAGGCGGGGGTCTGTGACGTGTGCCGGCTGTCTGCTGTCGTGGGGGGGGGGGGGGTGTCGTGAGCTGTGATGACCGGGCGGGCTATTTCGGCTATACGAGAAATATCGCAAAGACGCAAACCCGCAATCTCGGCTACACCGGCCTATACGTACTGCTACTGGGCTGGGTCTTTACCTCTTTAGGCATTGAGTGGGGTTGGCACTCCCATCGACCCTCATGACCTCCTGCGGTCTCTGAGATGGACACCAGTGGGTGTGGGACCACAGCCAGGATACACTCGAAGGCTGGGTAAGCAGTAGAGGTCGCGATACTCGACGTGTCCCACATGGAGACCGATGGTCTGTGTCGCTGTCGCGTGTCCCCTAGCGTGTCCCGTGTCGGCACGCTGTCGACACAGGACGTCGAGCGACACCGGTGGCAGTGCCACCCAGGAGTGGTCGGGCGGTCTCCCGTCATGAAAGAGCCATCATGTGATCCGTACGATGATTCCTGACAACCGCCTCAGTCAACTTTCGTCACAGTTCCCGCTCTGAGAGGAGCTGCGGGTCAGCTCGACAGCTGGAGCTGTGTCGCCGGCGTGCGGCGGCCTGCCTCCGGAGGTGCCTCTGAGGTGGACATTTTTTGGTCACCGGGAGAGAACGCGTTCGAATTTTCACTCCGGAACTTCAACTCCGCACGCGCACCGGCCAGGGCTACAATAGTGCCAGTGAGGCGGAGGCGCGAGTCGGAAGGCGCGACATTTTCTTACAAACTGCTTGCTGTCACCCGTGAAGGGTGACATGATGGTGTTTTACCGCGAGGGGTTGCAACGCGCCGTAACGGCACCGCACATATTACGTGCTAGCCGACACGCGCGTCGTGCAAGCCTCGACCCTGCTCTCTCGGAGTGCCGCTGAAACTCTCGCGCCATGGTGGAAGGGCCGATTGTCAAGCTCTCCGGAGACCCCGACGTCGACGAGGATGAGCGCCTCAAGCAGATTGAGGGAGAGACCCTCCTCTACGATGTCCGCAAGGGGTCGTGGCTCTCAGTCGCTCTATCGCTGGATGAAACATACGCCACAAACGAGCACGACGAAGACTACATTGCCGTACCGGCGAAGGTCCTCCTCGTGGCGATCGGGATCGTGTACTCCAAGGAAGAACTCAAGTGGTACGGGCAGGACTCCGTTCTTTCTCCGCACAGGCTGAACGCTATCGCTGTGGCCGCATACGCTTCAGAGCCCAAGTTTTTCGACCCGGACGTCGACGAGCCGTTTCAAACCTGCTGGCATTGCCGAGAGCAGATGCGGCAGTTTGCGGCGGTGCAAGTGGACCTCGATGACCAGGATAACGCCTTCGTCGTCCGGGACGAGCTGGACCGCTTGAACGCTGAACAGGAGATGTTTGAGTCTGACGGCCCGCTGGCCGTGTACAATCATTTGTTTGTGGACGATCTGCGGGACAATGAGTACTGCCTTGGCGCATGGACTCTCCTCCACTACATCGTGGTCTGGTCGCTGGAGCCGCCGGACGAGGACGCCAGTTCCGACGAGGTCAGAACGACCAAGCTGCTTCTGGCCATGGCCAAGAAGAGGGACGAGGCGACCTTCGACGCGTCGGAGTGCGACGCGGTGGCGGGCCTGCTGCAGGCGGCGGAACGGATACCGGCGGCGCTGCTGACCGATGACCTCTCCTTCACGGGGGCTAAGTACCTGATGCAGACGGCGGCCGTCATGGAGGATCCCGAAAGGGTGCCTGGCGTCCTCAAGGCGGGACTGCCCAGGCTGCTCAAACAGAAGGACACTTTGAGCAAGTGGGTCGGCAATGGCGCCGCGGCATTTTCACATCTGACGACGCTGGCTCAGCTATGGTGCTCGAGCAAGCCTGTTGACTTCGACGTGCTGGAGGTCATTGAGCGGAACCTCGCGGACAATGACGGCCGGTGGCGTGACGTGACGCCGGCGGAAAACATCAAGTATTTGGTCGACTCGGGCGCCGGGACGGGTGCTGCCAACAAGACACCCGAGGGTGAGAAAGGGACCCCGGTCACTAGGGAAAGCGAGAGGGCCGCGACTGCGCTACTCGCCGCGACGGAGACGTGGCGGGCGAGCGGGGAAGATGTCTTCGCATTCATTCAGGTCGTCCTGCAATCGGGGCACGCCAAGAGCGTGAAGTGGCTGCTCGAGCAAACGACGTCGGCGGGACTGCCGAAGGGGATGGTCGAGGACGACAATGCCGTGGCACCAGAGAGGTGGGATCAGTACTTCCTCCGGTGCGTCATGGAGAGCGAAGACGGCGGGGTCGACGTGGACCTGGAGGAGCAGGCGTGGACGGCGTCCGCCATCGACAGGACACTCGACGGCGTCATGCAGGCGGTGTTGTCTCCGACGGAACGCGAGCACAAGACATTCCACTCAAAACGAGTATGGCTGGCCTCGGCGCTCAAGGCGAATAAAGTGAGCGACGGCGAGGTCCAGGCACTATGCAGATGGATGTCGGCGGACTCGTTGCGCTTGTACGCTCGTATGGACTGGGCGTACCAGGGACGATGTAGGGAGGAGGCGTGCAGTGCACAATTCCAGACCATTAATGCAACGAGCCTGCCAGTACTCGACCCGATTCGATATGGCGAAAACAACTCGATCCTGATGCCAGACCTCAGAGGGGGGGCGTCGACGATCGAGACGGAGCGGGCGTGAGCTGCTCCATAACACCGGTCGAAGGACGACGACCGACGACTACAAAGCTACCGGGCCGAAAGGCGGTAGTGGGCTGCAGGGCCGGAAGGCGGCAGTGACCTGCGGAGCTGACTCCGCAGATCAAGAAAACTCGGACAACAGACATATATGCGCCAACGCGTCCTCAAAGGGCATCTCTTGGGCACCGGACCGCGACGGCCTACAAAGGGGCTTTCGAGGAGGGGGGCGGCCTCGTCGCGGCGGCGGGACGATTCTCTCTTTTCTTGACCCTCAATACAGCGGCGTATGAGAAGCAGGCCTGACAATCGGCAAAACTGCTTGCTGTCACCCGTGAAGGGTGACATGATGGTGTTTTACCGCGAGGGGTTGCAACGCGCCGTAACGGCACCGCACATATTACGTGCTAGCCGACACGCGCGTCGTGCAAGCCTCGACCCTGCTCTCTCGGAGTGCCGCTGAAACTCTCGCGCCCCCGTGTAAGATGAAAGACCTGCCCTGGGTCTGTCTCTCACACAAAAACACAACCCCGGCCAAGACGCACAAGCTCAGACAGTCGAGAAAGGGATAGACAGCAACGACAGTCAGAAGTCAGCGCTGGGTCCCAGGGCGAATGCGATGACGGCCTCTCTCTAGTGTGAGCTCTAGCTATAGTGAGCTCATCGCTACTATATGCAGCGAGTTAGGAGCCGACCGACCCTCGCGTCCGGTGCTCACCGACGGCCGGGCGGGCCACCCGCCCACGCGCCGCCTACGCGCAGCGCGTCTGTCTCTCACACCCTCACTGTCGTCGCATGCGAGGTTCTTGTTTCTTATCACCCTACTGTGAACCCAGCCACGTAACGCCTACACACTCGAGCCGAGGGTCAAGGAGAGAGTGCCTGAGAAACAAAGAAACAACCTTGGGCGGGCGGGTGGTGAGTCGAGACTCCGGAGAAGGCCGCGAACCAGAAATCAGGACCAAAAGAATTCTCCCTGCGTCGACATGCGGCGAGACAGCCCACGATTTACGTCCCTGCTCCACTCATGTCATGAGGGGGCAAGGGAGAGAAGAAGAAAATTTCGGCCCGCCGAAACGGACGGGGGCCGCCCGGCATTCACAAACGAAGAGAAAGCGGACAGCAAAAGGAACACAACGCACTCTCTCAGTTCTAGGGTTGTCAAACGTTAAGAGCTGACGACAGTGTTGCTAGTGTTACAGTAACAACAGAACAACAGTGGGGCTCCCCAACAACAGTAGCTAACGTTAGGCCGACTGAACAACAGTAAGGAAGGCCTGGCTGTGACCCACGACGATCTCCAGCGTCCAGTGCGGGTAATACCCGAAAATACCCGGGAAAACGCAGGTATTTTCGGGTTTTACCCGGGTTTTTTGGCATTTTCTGCTTGCTGACCACCGAACAACAGTAACAACAGTAACAAACAGTAGCAGCATGGGCTGGGGTGAACACTTGAACAACGTTAAGGATTTCAGCCAACACTAGCGCAACTGTTAGGCCCCAAATTAACGTTTGACAACCCTACTCCAGTTCTCACATGACAAGCGATCCCACGTCCCACGACAGCGAGTGTGGGGACTACATGACCCGTACTTAAAGGGTGTGGAGGGGCCCGTCCGCAGAGAGTCCAGAGAGCTAGGCGGCGCGGGCAGACAGTAGCTCAGTAGGATGTAGGAGCTCTAACTTTATCCGGCGGGGGCCTGTTCCTTTTTACCCATCTCACAGTAGAGAGGTGTCCGTTTTTATTTATTTATTTAACTTTATCCGGCCCGAAGAGCTCTGAGTCTGACCGACATGTCTCGGGACTCCCTCCTGCACATACACGGCAGTCGGCAGCGCGCGCGGCACTTGCACTCTTATTTGACTATATGTGCACAAAAAGAATGAGCAACCAGTACGAGGTCGCGGCGCTGTCGTCTCCAGCTGTGACAACGTGTCGCAAGCGGGAAAGCGGAGAGGTGCCCGCGCCCGCGGACAGCTCTCTCCCCACGATCGAATCAATCATCTCGTCGCAATCCATCGCCGCGTCCAGAGTGTGGTCCATGGCGGCTTCAGCCGACCCTACGCCTCAGCCAAAGTCGCCCCCCTCGGGCGGCACAGCTCCGAGCTCGCCGCCCAGCCGGCGGTGCAGCTCGGTGCGCAGGGCGCGCACCTCCTCCTCGAGCGTGTGGGCAATCACCTCGTAGAGGAGGGTCGGCTGCTGGTCGAAGGGCGGCTCTCCCCGCAGCTGGAGGAGGTGCGACAGGTCGACCGGCTCGCCGAAGATGACGTGTATGTGCGTGCCCAGCTGCGGCCGCGAGAGGATCGAGGTTGAGCCGGGCGTGGTCGGCTGCACGCGGTCGAGGCCGACGTGGTAAAAGGGGAGGACCTGCAGCCGCTGCGGCTCCTCCACCGAGGCGACCAGCCGGCCGACGCCTCGCCGGAAGGGGTGGATCCGCCCGTCCTGCCGGATCTTGCCCTCGGGAAAGTAGTGCACCCAGTCTCCCTGCTGCAGCTTTGCGATGATGGTGTCGAGCTCCTTCTGCCAGATGCCGGCGCCGCGGACGATGGGCAGCGCCTTGCTGGCCTCGGCCCACTTTTTCAGCATCGACCCCTCGCGAAAGCACACGTCGTGGCCTGACACCGGCGGAGGAGGAGTGAGCGCATCCGCGGGAGATGGCGGGAGCTGCGGGCGGAGGGCGTCACCGCAGACCGCCCAGCGCATCTCCGCCGCACCGCGCAGGAGGAGCCGCGCCGGCACGACGGCGGCCAGAAGGTGCGGGTCGTCGATCGTGGCGATATGGTTGCACACAGAGAGCAGCCCTGTGCCCGCCGGCCGCGCAAGACTCCGCTCGAGGTGGTGGCCGTCGTGCACATGCAGGTGGTTGGCGCCGCGCACAAACAGTCTGCACACGGGCCCGACCGTGCCAATCGTGACGGACTGGCGCGTCTCCTCGTCGTGGTACACCGCCAGGCCCGTCGCCGCGGCCGCGGCTGCCGCCGCGGCCTTCCCAGCGCTCGCAGCACTTCTCCGCATGGCCCGATCAACAAAAATAACGCACGGCCACTCAGCGGGCTGGGAAGAGGACCGCCGCAAGCGGCGTGGCGTGGGTCGGTTGTGCATCCCTCCGGGGGCCCCTCTGCGCCGGGGAGGCGTTGTTGGAGGCTAGGACGCAAGCGTCCGTCGCCCTTTTCAAACTCGGGGCCCACTCCGCTACGCTCCGACCCGAATTTGGAGGGCCTGAAAAGTTTAAGGTGTTGCTGCGCAAAAGGGGGAACCGCGGCAGAGTAGTTGCGTCTGCGCGGGTAGAGCCCTTTTGCGCGGTATTAACGCACACACCCCGCGACAGCCCCGCAAGGCGCGCGATACACACAGCTAGAAGTCAGTCACCGTCCTCAGGCGGGGGTCACAGAACACCGAGTCCATAAAGCTAAGCTCCTCCTCGCCTTCAGGCTCAGCAAGCTGCATCGACACCGGCCCATCAGCGGTTAGAGGGGGGAGATCTAGAGGATCATCTGAGTTGGAGCTAGCGGCGGCGGCCGAGCTAGCGGCGGCGGCCGGGGTGCGAACCGGCGGCATCACTGATTCAGGCTTGAACCCGGGCTGCTGGTAGGGCAGAGTGATGCCGTTGGCAGCGGCGCGCTCCTCAGCCCAAGACAGGAGCTCTTCAAAGCGGTTGACTCGGGGCAGTAGGGCAGCTATGGGCACATGATCTCTAACCCCCAAAAGCCCCAAAAGGGCAGTGCCCTCGTCTGGGCGCCTGAAGATGGAAAAGGAGCCAGTCGGGTTGCTAGCGTGCACGTCTGGTAGCTGCGTGTAGCCGGCGACAACACGCGGCGGTGGCGGCAGCGGCGGTGGCGTTGGCAGCGACGACGGTGGAGGCACAGGACCGCACTCACTGTCCCACCGCCATCCGGTCGGAAGCTGGTAGTCGCCCCGCATCTCGACTACCCGCAGTGCAGCATCCAAAGGCGTCTGAAAAAAGTCGAGGTTCTCTCTGAGATGATAAATGTCTTCTGCAGCATGATGGTCCATCACAAAGTAGTCGCCATATTCCCACTTGCCTAGGAATGTCTGCGCAGGCTCGAGGTCCCAGTTAAACTTCCGGTGTTGAAACCCTTCGTAGCCAACTACGTGCGGTTGGTGCTGTGGCAGTAGCGGACATGAAGACGTACCGGGCCGTCCAGCCCAGCGAGGGGGGGGGAGGGGTCTCGGTTTCGTGAGGCTAATACCTGGCTAATACTTGCGGCTTTCGGGGAGGGGCCTCGGACTGGCGAGTCCAGCTCAACCTGACTTCTTTCCCTCCTCCCTCGAGGCTCGAGGCAGCGAGTAGGCAGCGAGAGGAGGTCTCGAGCGCCTATATGAAGGTATGTGAGATGTATCCTTCCAACATCCTGCTCGTGCAGGTGGGGACCCTGTCTGTCCTCGTCCCATCCGCATCGTCCCTCGTTTGGCCCCTGTGTTTTCTTTTTTGTCTATTTTCTTTCTTTCTTTACTAGGCACGGGACTGGCGCGCACTGGCACTGATGACAACACCGTATTGGTGCACTAATACACATTCTGTGTGAGCTCTGTGTCTTGATTTGCCAACAATATACCTACAATACACAAAAAGAAAGCGTGCTCACCGCCCGCCGTGCGCCGCCCCGCAAACAACCCGTGTATAAAGCCTGTCCACCTACACTGGGGACACCGTGCGCACGACGGGGCAATCCTAGCGCAGGCCCCGCACGCGGCCCTGCTGCCCTCCCGTCGGCTGAAATCGACCAGGCCCATCGCCGTGGGCCCACCGGCGACTGCGGCGGCCCTAGCACCGGCCGATTGTTTGAGCGATGGCCTGTGCTGCGGCCGTCTCGGACGTTCAAGCGGCGCCAGCCAGCGGCTCGGCCGCGCATCCTTCACACACGCCGCCACGACCGGGATGAGAGGGCCCGGTGTCGAGCCATGGTGTGAGCTGCATGTGCGCGGCGGCCGTGGCGACAGCAGGTCCACCAGACGGACCTCAAAGCTTGCCGTCGGCGTGCTGTCGTGGCGAGAGCGCGAGACAGCTGCAGAGGAGCCGAGTGCAGTGGCGAGCCAGAGGCTACCTGGGTCACCAAGTGGTAGCCCTTGCCCATTCTGAGCAGGGCTGTGCTTTGTGGGGTTGTGCTTGAGTGTGTGTGAAGTGGGAGTGCGTGCCGGCGGTGTCTGTGGGTGAAACGGGCGTGTGTGAGGCCGTAAGAGCCATGGTATGAGCCAGGGTGGGCTTCATCACCCAAAATAAGGACGGTTTGGGACAGCTCAGACTTGATACTGATGGGCCTTGGCCAGGAGAGCGACAGAGAAGGCGAGGTGGTGAGCTGGGAAGCCGCTTTGTCTGCACCTGGACGTGTCGTGATGAACTGCCGAAAAGTACTATTTGCGGCTATTGCTCAAAACCTTTGGAGAGAAGGCCTACATATTATGACTGCATCCATGCGTCTGGTGCATATGGCCCGCGGGTCGGGACATATCTCGGTCGGTGTCGCTGGCCCAGGCCCATCAGTATCAAGCCTGAGCTGTCCCAGACCGCACTTATCTCGGGTCTTCAAGCGCTCACACCGGCTCGTGATGCTCCGGTGTAGGCGCTCGAGAGCACTCCCGGTGGCCTGTGCCGAGCGATTGTGAGGGCTTTACGGAGGTCATTGTCGGCGCCACCGACCGTGAAATGTCCCGATCCACAGCCCTCATGCACCAGACGCATGGATGCAGTCATAATATGTAGGCCTTCTCTCCAAAGGTTTTGAGCAATAGCCGCAAAAGGCGCTTCTTGGCACTTTTCATCGCGACACGTCCAGGTGCAGACAAAGCGGCTTCCCAGCTCACCACCTCGCCTTCTCTGTCTCTCTCCTGGCCAAGGGCCATCAGTAACAAGCCTGAGCTGTCCCAAACCGCCCTTATTTGGGGTGATGAAGCCCACTCTGGCTCATACCATGGCTCTTACGGCCTCACACACGCCTGTTTCACCCACAGACACCGCCGGCACGCACTCCCACTTCACACACGCTCAAGCACAACCCCACCAAAGCACAGCCCTGCTCAGAATGGGCAAGGGCTACCACTTGGTGACCCAGGTAGCCTCTGGCTCGCCACTGCACTCGGCTCCTCTGCAGCTGTCTCGCGCTCTCGCCACGACAGCACGCCGACGGCAAGCTTTGAGGTCCGTCTGGTGGACCTGCTGTCGCCACGGCCGCCGCGCACATGCAGCTCACATCAAGGCTCGACACTGGGCCCACTCATCCCGGTCGTGGCGGCGTGTGTGAAGGATGCGCGGCCGAGCCGCTGGCTGGCGCCGCTTGAACGTCCGAGACGGACGCAGCACAGGCCACGCGTCGCGCCGCCGGCCAAGCCCAGCCTCTCGGCGGACCCCGGCCGTGCCAGAGGCAGCCCAGGTGGCGCGTGGGGCCGCGGCTCGGCGCTGGGAGCGCGCACGGGGCCCGTCCTCCAGGCCGACCACCTGTAACGGCCACACCCCTGAAGAGAGCTTGGATTGCCCCTCGACCCGCACGCGAAGTCCCACTTTGGCATGCTCGTGCTCGTCGCCATCTTCGTCTTTTTTGCTCATTCTTCTTGCGCGTCCCAGCGGCCCTAGTGCCACCAGCAAGCAGCCGGCTGCATGGGGCGAGAGGGTGCGTTTGAACGGCCTTTTCAAAGGTGTGAAAAACAGGTGGACAGGCTTTATACGTGTGTGTGTGTGTGCATATGCGCCCGGGCGGCTGCGTCGACACGCCTGGCTGGGTAAACAGCATTGGCGTGGACTGCGACGTGTACGCGTCCGAGCACTGCGCGGGCGGCCGCTTCCTGCCCGCCGGGGCTTGGGCGAGTGGCGTTGACTTTGGAGAGCCGGAGAAGCACTGCTGCGCGTGCGGCAAGCCGCCCGATCGAGGACCAGGGGACATCTCGAGCGACAGCGGGTGCGTCGACACCGTTGGTTGGCAGAATCTCTTTGGGGCGACGTGCGACGATTACTCCTCGGCGGGCCGGTGCGCTGGCGGCGCCTTCACGCCGGGGGAGGAGTGGACGAGCGGGCACGACTTTGGTGAGCCAGAGAAGCATTGTTGCGAGTGCGGCAAGCCGGCACCCTGCGTCGACACGCCACACTGGCGCAATCATTACGGCGCAACGTGCTCCCTCTACGAAGCGGAGGGTCACTGCAGAGACGGAGCCTTTCTCCCTGCGCACGAGTACACAGCGGCAGCTGAGTTTGGCTCGCCCTGGAAGCACTGCTGCGCCTGCGGCAAGGGTCGGGGGTCCCCGCCACCGCTGCCGCCGCCGCCGCCGCCGCCGCCGCCGCCGCCGCCGCCGCCGCCACCTCAGCGCTGCACAGACACGCCCGGCTGGAGGAACCCGTTTGGGAAGGACTGCGCCGAGATGGCGGCCGAGCATTGCCGCTGCGCCGGAGGCTTTCGTCCCGAGGACTGCGGCTTCGTCGTCGGGCACGAGTGGACGGGCGGTGTGACGTATCTCTCCCCGGAGCTGCACTGCTGCATCTGTGGGAAGGGCCGCCTCCGACCGGTCTTGCAGGGCGGCGCGACACTTGCGGTGGCCCCTCGGCACTCAAGTCGCGGGTAGAAGGAGTCCAGGAGTCGGCGTAGCCGGCAGGCCTGGGACGTGGGACGGCCTCTGGACGGCAGGCCGTGCTGGTCCCCGTGCATACACTGGTGTGCGAGGCGACGGAGTTTAGTCTAGTCTCTACTAGAGGAGAGTTCTTGAAAGATCACACCCTCACACACGCGCTGAAACGCGCACACACACACCCCACACACGCACTCACACACCTCTAGAGCACACACCACGACACCGCACCACACGCACCGGGCACCGCACACACACACACACACACGCGCGCGCGCACGCACACGCACACGCACACGCACACGCACAACGTGAAATCTCTACGACAAAACAAACTCTACATCACGATAAGCGGCGAATGAGGCACGGTCGCTCTCCGACATGAGGCGCGTTGCACTTGCCAGTGCGGCCCTGGCCTTCTGTCTGCCCGCCCAATGGGTGGCAGGTGCCTCTGCTGCTATGGCATGCCTCACGGCTGCGACTGGCCGGCGCCTCGGCGCGTCAGCTCGGCTCGGCGTAGCGATAGTGGCCAGCGCAACTCGCCTGGACTCAACGCTCAGCCAGGAGCTCCCGCACGCGCTGGCGCGAGTCATGGCGCATGCAACGCGCAGCAATGCTCGCCTCGCCTCGCGCAAATGCGACCGTCCTCGCAGCCGACAGTCCACCCCCTGCTAAAGAAGCACAGCGACGAATGCGGCACCGGCGACGCATGGCAGGCTGGTCATGACGCAGTTATAGGGTGTTGTGGTGCCGTCAGAGTGACTCTCTGTGTGTCAGGGATAGTCAGGGCTGACCATCAGAGCTCCAGTAAGCTCGGAGACACCCCATTAGCGCGGCTCGACCTCTTTGAGTCACTGCCTTCCCGGCGGTTTGGCTGTAGAGCCTCTACAACAAACTCTACAGCAAAATCGCGCTCTACATCGCTCAGCGCTCCAGAGCGCTCTACATCTCTACAGCTCTACAGCGCTCTACACTCTACATCCTCCTCACCCTCCCTCAGTAAAAATCTCTCTCTCTTGTTTCGAATTTTCTCGAAAATATCGAAAGGAAAAACCGACAACAACAACAACTCTCTCTCTCTCCAAAAACCGCGGCAAATTCTTCTCGCAATATCTGCTCGACCGCTGGCGAGTAATATCTGCCCCGCCCACCCAGGGTACCCTCTCCGAGGACCCATCGAGGATTTCGCCGGGCGGGGGGGGGGGGGCGGGGGGGGTGGGTCCTACAAAGAGACCTCCCCACACAGAGAGTAGTGGGCCGCTCTACGCCAGGCTCCGCCTTTCGCGTCGGCGGCAGTGGCGCATGCTTGCCGCCATCGCCCTCTCGTGCTGCCTGACCGCGTCTGGCCCACGCAGGCGTGTGCCTTTCGTCAATCACCATGTGCATCAGCGCACGCACCGTCGCTTGCTGCCGCTCGTGCTGGCACAGCAGGATCCCGGACAGTGGACGCCGCCGCCCAAGCTGGATGCTGATGTGGCAGTGCTCCTGTGGTACAGTGGCTGGTCCACTGTCTTTCGCAGTGCGGCGTATCGCTATCAGTTGAGCGGGCTGCCGTGGAAGCGGCTCGACCAGATTGGGCTCGACTTGCCGGCTCTCAACAACGCGCTCGGCGAAGGGGCGGCCCTGGCGGCGACCTGGGTCGCAGCCGCTCTGCTGACGGGCGTGCTCGAGAGCGATGCGCGAAGGTACGACCAAACGAGGGTGCTGCTGACCTGGACGATGGCGGCCTCGGCCGCGCAGGCGGTCAAGTACAGTGCAGGGTGGAACGCAGGGGACGGGAGCTTCAAGACCGGCGACGCGATCACGGACGCGGCGATGACGCTGGTGCTGATGTGGGCCTTGCGTGTGTTTGAGGAGCGCGGTGTCCTCTGACGCATCCAGGTTCTCCCCGGCCCCCGCGCGCCCCTTCGCTGCTACTTGACACGTTGACAGTTGTACTTTTAAGCGACGGGAGAGGCGGAGGCGGACACGTACGTGGCGTGCACAATTTACGTTTCGTGCACACTCTAAGAGATCTCTGCGTTCGGCACCGACTCTGATCTCGGTAATATAAAACCTGCCTGTAGTTGGGCGCTTGCAGCCGCTGCGGGCCGCGGACCTTCACAGTTTTCAGTTACCGACACCAGGGGCGAGACAGATCACAGATGTCAGATCTCTGCCCGACTCTCATTCTCTCTTTCTCTTTCTTCCCCATCTTTATCTGTGTCTCTCCGCTGTTCTAAGTAATAAGTAAAGAAAGAAAGAAAGGTCATGCCAAGCTAGGGCTGGGTCGAGGACAGTGACAGAGACGTCCCCACCTTTGCAGGATTTTTGCGCAGCGGCGCCGCCAGGCGCCCGCCCCGGCGGTGAGCGACGCGTAGCGAGCGAACCGCCGGGGCGGGCGCCTGGCGGCGCCGCGGAGCTCCTTTGGCTCGGCGCGGGCGGGGGTGCGAGCAAAAAGAAATTTCCCTGCGGCCCTACCCGGCGCCTGCGCTCGGCGAAGGCCGCGAAAGACCGAGGTGGCGAAATCGCTGCTGCGTCAGGACGCGGGCACCTCGCGAGAAGCTGATCATGCCCAGCCATCCTCACCCCCCGAAGCAGCTGTGGCCGCGATTTCAGCCGGTCTCGTGACCGCCCCGCCCCGGCAGGCGCGCGTTTGAGCGAGGCCGTCGTGCAGCGCACCGAGAAGGGGCCGGTCGCGCGCAGCGCCATGCCGCAGGCGTCCGCCGGAGGCCCGCCGGAGGCTGTATGCGGCGGCCACTTCCCCTCGGTCTTTCGCCGCGCTCCGGCCGCTCCTTGGCTCCTGGCCGTCTCCTCCGAGCGGCTTTGCGCGCCCCCAAATTCCCCTGACAGCAGCGCCTCACGGCGTGGGCTGCAAGGTCACTCGGGGTGACCCAGGGGGCGGCGGGGGAGCACTCTTCCGCCGGAGTATCGACGGTCTTCCCGCCACTCGCTCGTGTTTGAGGTGCATCCACCCCCACCCACCACCTTCCCGGCAGCCCCACCCGCTCGGTGACGTCCTCACTTCTCCCCCCTGCCCCGCCCCCCCCCCTTTCAGGCGAGGCCCTGGCCACCAAACTCGCGCTCGTCGCTCCGTGAACGGGCAGCAGCGCGACGCTTTTCGAGAGCGAGCGGCGGCGGCGGCTCAGCACCAACCTTTGCATCGCAGGGGCTGGCTGCGTGGGCCCCCATCACCGGACTGCGTCGGGCTCGCGTCTCCCTGCCCACGCGGGAGCTGGGTGGAGCGCAGTGTGTGTGTATATGTTTGTGTCTGTGTCTGTGTCTGTGTCTGTGTCTGTGTCTCTGTCGTGTGTGTCGTGTGTCGAACTCTCGCACTGCTCTCTATCGCTTAGCTCTCGCCACAGGCTCAGCCTCGCCTCGCCGCCCGCACGCTCGATACACGACAGAACCCGGACGACGTGCGTTTTTGCTTCTCTACAAAACACGCACACCCACGCCCGCCCCAGTCAGCGGACCCAGCGCCATCGAGAACAAAAGACTTTGGCGAGCATAGTCTGAGGGTATCCTAAAAGTTCGGCCGATTTGGGTCAAAACGCTAAAAGCACGCCCGGGCGTAGATTTGGGGCAAAACGACAAAAGTGGGCCCGCCCGGGGCAAAATGGTAAAAGTCGCGCGCCGCAGGCGCGCGCGAAAATTTTGGACATTCTGCTCTCCGGCGGCGCCCGCAGCGCGGTCTCCAAATCCTCGCTCGCTATAGCGGCGTGCAGCCGGCGGCGCAGCCACGCCTTGTTGCCCGAGAGGGCCTCGCCACGCTCGCCCAGCTCCTCCTTGAGCTCCACCACCTTCATCGCCACCAGATCCTTTTACCTTTCGCATCGCCGCCGCCGCAAAGAGCCCCGGGCTCAGCGGCTCAGCGCCTCAGCCTCGTGCTCAGCAGCGCCCTTATCAATGTGTGACAAACTTGTAGCGCTGCATGTGTTTGGACACACACCGGCGGGCGCTTTCGAGGCGAGCGGCATTTTTCTAGGCATAGTGTGCAGGAACTACTTCTGCCGTTTGCGGCGTTTGCGGGACGGATAGCTAGTACTTACTGCACCCGGCGCGCAGCGCCGAAGAAAAACTTGAAAAATGCTAAAAGTTGGGCGCTCCGAGACGACCAAAGTGGTAAAAGTCGCACTCTCCCCTGACCCGATCAAAAGCGTAAAAGCACCCGAGGCTCCAGAAACCTAACCCTCAGACTATGTTGGCGAGCCAACCGGCAGCCGAGAGATAAATTCTCCGCAAGAAGAGCCCTGCCGCTAGCGCGGTGCAGAGCGCGAACTCGCCGTACTGAGCCTGGCGCAGCGCGAACTCGCCGTCTGAGCCTAGCGCAGCGCGAACTCGCTCCTGTTCATAGCTGCGCAACCCTAGCCTAGCTCCATTTTACAAAAGCGAGGGCAGGGGAAAGAAGGAAAGCAAACAGAGGACCAAACGAGGGATGGGAGGAGGACAAGGTCCCCACCTGCACGAACAGGATTTTGGAAGGACGATCAGGGACGAGGAGGGGAGAGTGCGCTTTGCGTCAGGCGGTTTTCTTCCACACTCAGGAGCGCGGTTGGGTGTATGTCGCACGCGAGCCTCGCTGAGGAGGACTGGCTGGCGCGCTCGCCGCGGCGCAACCTGCGGCAGCTGCTCACGCGTGCGCTCGGCGACGACGGCGCGCAGTGCTCCGAGGAGGAGATGCAGCAGCACGTCGCGCTGCTGCAGCGCGCCGACGCTGAGAATAAGCTCGGCAGGCGCAAACTGTACCTGCTTTTGGACCTCGACGAGACGCTCGTGTTCGCACAAAGGCTTCGCGCCGGCGCTAGTCCCGCCGGCCACCTCATCCACGTGCGCGGCGAGGCTTTTGACCTGCAGCTCCGGCCTGGGTGCGTCTCCCCGCCGCACCGTGCCGCAACTGCTTGGCCATAAGCGCCTCTCCGCTGTCACCGCCCGACGACGCCGTGGCTCGCCTGCCCTTCGCAGACTCAGCCACTTCTTGTCGACGACGGGGGAGAGCTTCATCATGTACCTCTACACGATGGGCGATGAGGAGTACGTCAAGGCGCACGGCCCGAGAGACAGGGAGGGAGAGACGGACAAAGAGAGGGAGGGGGAGCGAGGGAGAGGGAGAGAGACGGGGAGAGAGAGGAGAGAGGGAGGGAGGCAGGGAGAGAGAGGAGAGAGGGAGGGAGGGAGAGAGGAGGGGGACAGGGAGAGCGGCCCCCAAGCTGCGGGGAGTCGCACACCCCCTGTGCTTCGCCCCAAAGGCTGTCCTCGCCGTCATCGACCCCAAGCGGACCCACTTCACGGGCGGCGTCTGCTGCTGGCGCGCCGACCAGTCGCGCACGCTCAAGACGCTCGAGCGGTGCGAAGGGCGGGGTGGGGGCGGGCGGGGCGGGGCGGCCTTCTCAGGGGACGCGGGCCCGGCTGGAGGAGAAGCCTAGGAGAAGCCTCCTCCCCCTCACCCTGCCTCCCCTCCCCTCCCTCCCAGCGCCGTCGTCGAGAAGCAGATGGCGCTCATCGTCGACGACACTCCGGACGTGTGGCAGGCGAGAGACAGCCGAGAGACAGCGGGAGCTAGACCCTCCGGAAGCTAGACCCTCCGGAAGATAGTCCGCCGGAAGCTAGTCCCTCCGGAAGCTAGTCCCGGGCCCAACCCCTCCCTCTCCTCGCGCCCCCCTGCAGGCGGACCTGTCCAACCTGCTGCTGGTGCCCACGCGGCGCACCGCCCCACTGCCACCGCCTCCCGGCCGAGACCCCCCCCCCCCCCCCCCCTAAGGTGCGCCGCTTCCAAGGCCACGCCGGAGACAACGGGCGCGCGGGGCCCCGCCAGCGCCGGCCCCGCCCCTCCTCCTCCCCGCCCCTCCCCCTCTCCGCCCCTCACCTCTCCGCTCTCCTGGCGCAGGCTGATGCAGCTCAGCTCGCAGCTCAGCTCGCTGCACAAGCGCTTCTACCCGCCAGCCGAGAGGGCACCATGGTCCCTCGACGGCCCGCTCCGCCAGCCGCCCGACGCCAGGCGCCGCCACACCGCGCCGCCACACCGCAGTGCCACACCGCGCCGCCACACCGCACCGCCACACCGCACCGCCACACCGCACCGCCACACCGCACCGCCACACCGCAGTGCCACACCGCAGTGCCACACCGCACCGCCACACCGCAGTGCCACACCGCACCGCCACGCCGCGCAGTGCGGGACGCACCCCCCGCCCGCGTTGAGCGGCTGAGGCGCACCTGCAGGCAGCTGCTGGCGGAGGCGCGCGGCACGGCGCTGCGGCGCTGCCTCGTCGCCTTCACAGGCGCGGCTCCGGCGAGGCTGTGGCGGAGAGTAGCGGCGCTGACCGCGCCACCGCGCCACCTCGGCAGGGGTGCTGCCCGACACCAAGGATTTTGGCGAGATCGCCTTGTGCGCGCTCGTCCGCCAGTTTGGAGGCGCGGAGGAGTGTGAAGAGGGGTGGTGTGAAGAAGAGTAATGTGAAGGGGGGTAGTGTTAGTGTGCGGAGGGTTGCGCGGAGGTGCGTGGTGTGGTGCAGTCTGCGCGTGCGTCTGTGGCTGGTCTGAGCTCGGGAGGCTGCCTCCCCCGCAGGCGAAGTGACGTCGTCTGTCGAGGAGGCGACCCACCTCGTCGCGAGGCAAGATGCAGCAGAGATGCTAGCAGCGATGCAGCAGCGAGGCTAGCAGCGAGGCTAGCAGCGAGGCAGCAGCGAGGCAGCAGAGATGCTAGCAGCGAGGCAGCAGAGATGCTAGCAGCGAGGCAGCAGCGAGGCAGCAGCGGCCGCGGAGCCCCTCCTCGCGAGGCACAATCTCGGGTAATCTCGGCTTGATCTCCTCCTCGCGAGGCGGGCGGCGGAAGAAGAGCCTTACTCCCGCCCGCCCCTCCCCGCCCCCGCCCCTGTAGGCAGACCGAGGGGTGGAAGCAGGCTGCCAAGATCCGGCAGGCGGCGCAGCGGCAGGGGCAGGTCTCGGTGGTGTGGGACCACTGGCTGCTCGACACGCTCTGCTCGTGGCAGCGGCAGCCCGAGGCGCCTGACCCCTCCCCTGCCCCGCCCTCCCGCCAGAGAGCGCCTGGCCCAGAGAGCAAGAGAGCACTTGCCCCCCCCTGCCGGCTGCGGCGCAGGAGCGGTACCGCGTCCCGCTCGAGGAGATGGACGGCGCAGAGGCGGGTGGCGCAGCAGAGGCGGCCGGTCCGGAGGCAGCCGAGGCGGCGGGCGGAGCGCCGCAAGCACAGGCGCCGCGTAGAGATGACTGCCGCGTAGAGAGGGACAGCTGGGCATCGCCGGGCGAGGGGCCGACGGGGAGCTACACACACGCCCTCCCTGCCCCTGCCCCCCCTTCCCAGTCGGGCCAAAAGCGCGATCGCGAGGGCGCGAGCGAGAACAACATTGCGCGCATGACCGTCGCCGCCTACCTTCGAGAAGTGAAGGCGAAGAGCAGTGCTGCGGGGGTGGGTGGAGGCGCAGTGGCGCAGGGAGCGCCTGCCGCGGCCGCTGATATGGGCACATGACCGTGCATGAAAGCTAACGTGTTAGTGGGCCCGCCGTGACCACGAGCGCTAGGCTCTCTGCCTGCTCTGGTGGTGCTCGTGCGCAGCGTCGGCGCGCTGACGCCTCACTCACACTCTCTCGACACACGCGCACGCCCATCGCCCACACTGCGCCGGAGGGCGTGGCGCGGCCGCGGGCGGTCTCTGCCTGGTCTCTGCGTGAAAGGTGGGATCGCGATCGGGAGCGGTGAGGCTGAGGGTGGCGAGAGACGCGGGGGAGGAGAAAGAGAGGGAGTCGAGCTCCGCGACAGACGCATGCCGGCCGCGACCGGACTGCGGACGGTCTGCCGACACCCCCCTGCTCCCACTCCGCCACTGGAAAACCCGAGAGTAAGGACGACAAAAAATGTGTGAAAATAAGCGCTGCTGGAAAAGGTAAAAAAACAAAATTGGGTCTATCGCGCGGTGTGGTGTGTCGTACACTGTCGACCAGGGTTCGGACTTTTGCGGGGTATGGTATGGTACTCTCGCGCAACCCACCTCGAGACCATACGCCCCCCCCCCGCGCCCCGGCGCCCCCCCGCCTGCTGACAGACCCAGCCTCCCCCGCCGACGGGTGGACGGGACCCCCGCACCCCCCCCCCCACCCACCCACCCCCTCGTCGCCCCACCGCCGGCCGCCTTACTGCTAGCTCCAGGAGGCTGCAGACACCGACACGCACACTAGATACGCGCGGATGGCCGCCGTCTTCCACATGCTCTCTAGAGCGCGGCGGCGAAGTTGGCAATCGCCTGGCGAGCGGCGGGCGCGGCACCCGCGCCGGTCGCCGCACCCGCACCAGCAGGTGCCGCGCCGGCCGTCCCCGTGCGGGCGGCTCCGGTGGCCGCCGCGCCGGCCGCCCCGCGGGCCACCGCACCGGCGAGGTCATTCATCGGCATCGCCGTGCCGGCGGGTGCCCCTCCGGTGGGTTCCCCCGCTCCGGTGGTCGCCTCGCCGGTGGTCGCCTCGAGCGGGTTGGCTGCCTGGCTGCGCCAGCGGCGCATATCTCGGGGGACTTGTAGTACATTGAGGCGCTCCGCAACCAGAAGGGTGTGGGCGAGTGGAGCGTGGAGCAGCTGCAGCAGCTCCGCGACACGGGCGCGTGCTCCTACCTCATGGCGCTGCGGGCTCGGCGGCGGCAGCGTGAGGGAGGGGCCGAGGGACCATACCCCCCACCCCTGTCGAGGGCTAGTCTTGGGCGGTCAGGATCATACCCCCCCACCCTTTGGTCCGCGAGGGTACCATACCATACCCCGCAAAAAGTTGGAACCCAGACGTCTCGTGAAAAATTTATAAATTTAACCCACCAAGTACCTTAAGGTACTCAAAACCCCCACCAAGTGCTCCAAGTGCTCCATCATGATACCATGCGCGCGGGGCCCTGGGCCGCTGGGCCGCTGTGGGCCCTGGGCCCTGGGCCCTGGCGCCCGCGGACCCCGCGAACGGTGTGTGTTTCGACGGGGAGAGCTCCTGGCTAGCGCTGGCAGCTGCGACGCGGTGTAAAGCCATATCATCAGCACCCCCTATGCCACCGTGACGAGCATGCGGGCCCGCTAGAGCTGTAGGCGGTCAAGCGCCTAGGCGCCTAGCTGGCCCCTCTCTGGGAGGTGTGCGCCGCGTGCGGTGCCATCGCTGTTCTCTCTCTCTCCCGGGGTCAGCTCCAACCTGCCGTGTCGGGACGTCGCCCCCGCGGCTCCCCCCCCCCCCCTCTCCGCTCTGAACTGCATGCTGCGCGTTCTCGCCTTGTCCCAGGAGCCAGGTGCGTGTGTCTAATCGTAAAGCCGTAAGTGGGGGCCCTGGCCCCCCTCTGTTTTCTGTTTTCTGTTTTTCAAAACGCCCGCCCGCCCGCCACCCCGTCCCCGAGGCGGCTCGGCCCCCTACAGACCGAGAGATCAAAAACGCTCGGCGCCTCTGCGTGTGACCCTGACCGGGTGTTGTGTCGACTGTCGTGTGACTTGTCGTGTGTGAGGGCTGCGACACCTGTGTGCCGGCGTCGATATGCCGGCGTGAAAATCAAGAGGGTGCGGGGCCGCGCGTGGGGCGTGGGGAAATTAGAGCTGTTTAACATTAACTTTGGGCCTAACAGTTGCGCTAGTGTTGGCTGAAATCCTTAACGTTGTTCAAGTGTTCACCCCAGCCCATGCTGTTACTGTTTGTTACTGTTGTCACTGTTGTTCAGCGGCCAGCAAGCAGAAAACGGCAAAAAAAACGGGTAAAACCCGAAAATACCCGGGGGTATCCAGGTATTTCGGGTATTACCCGCACTGGACGCTGGAGATCGTCGTGGGTACTGCCAAGGCCTTCCTTATTGTTGTTCAGCCGGCCTAACGTTAGCTACTGTTGTTGGGGAGCCCCACTTTTATTCTGTTGTTACTGTTAAAATTAACACTACTGTAGCAACACTGTTCAGCTCCCAACGTTAAACAGCTCTTAGTGGGGATATGACCCGCGGTGTGTGGCGCGGGCCCCCCGCTCGCCTCGCTGGCTGGCGCGCCCCTGCGGCTGCGCGGCCTGCGGCTGCGCCTGCCGCGGGGTGCGGGCGGAGAAACGATAAAGGGAGACGACCCCCCCCCCGCCCCCCGGCCGCCTGCCAAAAACACGACACACGCGCGCCGGCGGCGTCGCGCACGCCGCACGGGGCGCGGCGGCCGGCGCGCGGTGCGCGCGGGATGAGGGCGTGTGTGGTGTGTGTGCGCGCGCGCGCGCCGGCGTGCGGGTGCGCCCCTGAGCCTGACGACTCTTCTCTCTCTCTTCTCGTCTCTCTCTTGACACTTGACCTTGAAAGTCTTCTGTCTTGGTCCGTGTGGACACGGCTTTACGTTGTAGCTTGTACACACGAACGTTCAATTCCTACTCCTAGTCCAATAATTCTCGGGACACCCGCGCAGACACACGAGACAGGGCACTGGCAAGAGCTGCAAACGAGCATGCACTGCGGCGTCGCGCGTCGCATGTGGCAGGCAGCGTTTGTCTCTGACAGCTGCAAGGCGCCCCCGGACAGGTGGGATGTCTCGCGGCGGCGCTCCTGCCGCGCACAGTAGCAAATGCCCTCGAGTGTCCAGGCCGTGCGGCTGCCTCGGAGCCGCCCCTCAGGCCTCGGGTGACATGGGCTGGCGATACGCGTACTGCTGCTCTCTCCTCTCTCTGTTGCCTCGTCCTCGCAACGCGCGCATTCACTTTGTGTACGACTGGATGGTGTAGTACTTGAGGGCAGACATGCCCGCCTCGGGGTAATCCTCAAAGCTCACCTGCGCGCGCGGCGGTGGCCAGCTTTGGACTCTGCTGGACGAGCCTCGCAGGGCGGCGCCAGGGTGGCGAGAGCGCGGCGACGGCAGGCGCCATGGGGCGCGCTCTGGAATCGCCCGCCCCAGTGTCGGCCGGCGCAGCGCTGTCGGCCAGCGGGCAGGCGCAAGGCTCTCGGGGAGGCGGCGCGGGCAGGGAGGCGGGCTCTGCGCAAGCGCGCGCAGAGAGCGTGGCCGCGCCTTGTAGTCCAACTTCTTTTTGTTGGAGGGGTCTCCATCCTCGCTCACCTCCTTGGACACCTCCAGCTTGCCAACATACTTCACGCGCTCGTCGTTTTTGATCTGCCACCCGCCCTTCTGGTGGTCGCCAGTGATGGCCTCGCGGAATTTTTCATCGAGCTCCTGCGCAGACATTTTGTACGTGTAGATGGCTCGGTACGGGCTCTTGTACAGCTCGCGCCGGTCGCTGCCCTCGGGCACAGCGATGTCCTTGAAGCTGTCGGCGGCTTCCGACATTGTTGTGGCGCGGCGGACGTATCTGCCGCGAGGGGCGAGGAATGGGGTCGGTGTGGTGTGGAGCGCGTCCCCTCGCCCACCATCTGGCCATCGGATGCCACGGTGGGTCGGAGGTGGGTCGGTGGTGCCCGCCGGCACAGCGCGCGGGCGGGGAGCGCGGTGGTGCGCGGAGGGGCGGGGCGCGCGGACGGGCGAGGCGCGCGGAGGGAGCGGAGGGGCGGGGCGCGCGGGAGGGGCTCGGAGGGCGGCGCACTCTGCTGCGCGTCCTGGGTCCAGAATGCGCCGTTGCACGCCAGGGTTGGGACTTTTCACGGGGTATGGTATGCTGCTATCAAGGACCATACCCCCACCCCTTTGGGCCGCCGATGGTACCATACCATACCCTGGAAAAAGTTGGAAGCCCGGTTTTTTCTTTCTTTCTTTATTTCCAAGTACCGTGGTGCAAGACCTTAAGCCGCTTGTGCCTTGTGTTAGTGCCAGTGCGCGCCAGCCTCCCCCGTGCCCGTGGCCCCGTGCCCACAGTGTTGCGGTGCGAAAATAATTCCCTAAGCGGCGCTTGCAGGTCACAGGATTAAAAAGAATCTGAAGATCCTCACAAGAAGATCGCGCAGGGCGCAGGGGGCGGGGACACATGTGTCCCTAGAGAACCCATCTCGTCTCAGAGTTGACCGTTGTATTTATTTATTTAGGTCACTGGACTGTGTTCTTCAGCCGAGCTCCAGCTCCTCCAGCTCCGACGCGAGCATCTCCAGCTCGTGGAGGGTCACCTCCTCCCCGTCCTCCTCCTCTGAGCTCGGGCGCGCCGCCAGGGATGCATCGCCTCGCTCAACGGGCGCGCCGCCAGACGCCTCGGCCAGCGCCAGCTCGACCGTTTCCGAGTCGAGCGACGTCGACCACTGCGAGGCGCTCGGCTCGTCGTCCCTGTCCGCCTGGAACCCGATGCCGAGCTGCTCCGCCGCCCTCCGCGCCGCCACGGCTGCCGCCGCCGGCCCGGCCCCACCCAGGTCGTCCAGCCCGTAGCATGCGCAGTGGCTCACCGCGGTGGAGAAGCGGTCGTGGATGAGGGAGCGGAGCTCCGCGGCAAAGCCCGGGCTGGGCGGGCCGGCGCCCGCCTCCTCGCCGCGGCTAGCGGCGAGTGCCAGGTAGTAGTTTGGAAGCTCGAGGACATTGTCGCACGTGTGCGCCTGCGGCATCATCAGCGCCATCGCCGCCTCCTCTCTGCGACCCCTCGGCGCGAAGGGGAGCTGCACAGAGAGCACCGCGGTCCCTGGCTGGGGCCAGCGGTCCGACCCCGTGCAGAAGGCGAGGAGCCTCCGCTTCTCCTCCTCGGTCCACCCGTCGAGCACCGCCCACAGCGCCTCGCGCAGCGGCGGGCAGCCGGCGAGCGCCGCGTCCTCGACGACCCGAAACACGTCGCGGAGGCGCCGGTCGTGGCTCTCTGGCTCGCCGCACACGATTGCGCAGAGCTGCGTGGGCGAGATGCCAATCCCGCGCAGCATCGCTGGCGGCAGCACCGCCTGGAACCCCTCGCGCAGCGCCTTGAGCTGCCAGCCCCCCTCGCCTCCCCCCGCGAGGCGCTCGCGCGCCCGCTCCGCGTACTGCTCCCTGCCCAGCCCCGCGAGCCCCTCCAGCGCCGCCATCTCCTCAAACTCGCGGCGGCCCATGCGCAGCACCGCACGCACTGACGCCGCTGCCTGAGGGTCCAGCCCGGCGAGCGCGTCGAGCGACGGAGCAAAGGGCCGCACGCCAGGCTCCGCACACAGGGCTGCGAAAAGCAGCGTCGGTAGCAAAATCTCGACGGTGCACCTGTTGCACACGGCCTGTGCAAGCAGCCACCCGGAACATCGGAGCAGCGCCTCCGTTTCGGCGGACTGCTCGAGGCTGCCGTCGAACCAGTGCTGTCGGTGACTGCCGTCGTACGGAAGGAGCGCCGGACGCCCGTCCCCGCCGCGCGCCAGGTGCTCGCCGATGAGCGCAAAGTACTCTTTTCGCGGCCCGTGGCCCTCGCCGTGCTCCAGCCCGCCATCGCGAGACCGGAACTGAGGGTAGAGCTTGGCGCTGCCCAAGCTCCGGGCGCTGCCGTGTGGCGAGACGCGGTGCGGCGAGTCGCTCCATAGCGCAAACGTGTCCCACAGCGCGGTCGCTCGCTCGCACGGCAGCCTGAATCTGGAGTCAGCCACGACGCACGCGTCAACATATAGCAGGAGTGCTTTGCCCTGCGGCCCGAGCGCCGCGCTCAAGAGACGCGGCTGCAGGCCGAGCCTCGCCTCCAGCTCGCCGAGACACGCAAGCTTGGCGCGGATGCTTGGCTCGTCCTCCACGGAGACCACGCGGAAGAAGGCGACTCCGAGGAGGGCCAGCAGCCGCCTCAGCGAGCTGTTGACCCAGTCAGCCTCGGGCGGAGCGCCCGACGCGGGCTCGGCGCAGACGGCAGACTCCAGCCGCCTCGTCCACTGCTCGAGGAGCAAGGCGAGCAGAGCCTCGGTCTCGCAGGCGCCAGCCCATCGCGCTGCCCCGAGCGCGCCCGACGCCTCAAAGAGGAGCTCTACCAGCCCTCTTGGCGTCAGCGAGTCCCACGAGGCGCGGCTGTCCTCGGCGCCGCTCAGCCGCGCCTCGACCGAATCGAGCAGCGGAGCCCACAGCTCGTCGAGGCGCAGGTGGATGGAGGCGAGCTGCTCTGCCCCTCCCTGGCCCGCCTGCGGCGGCCCGCCCCTCCTCTCGAGACTGCTCGGCGGAGAGGCGCGGCCCGGCGCGGCAGCGTGGGCGGACGCGCCGCAGCCCATATCACACGTCGGCGTATTGGACGAGACGAACGAAGCGAAGGGAGCTTGGAACCAGAGAGAGAGAGAGAGAGATTTTTCTCTCTTCTCTTGGAACCGGCGGCAGCAGGTTCCTTCGTGCAGCGCTGCGCCCTGGCTGGACGGAAATTGCACGTCGCCCGCCGTTGCGCGTAACGGATTTTTTAAATTACAGTCTACAGTCGAGAGCGTCGTAGTCGCTGTGTTCTGCTCGTTCTCAGCGCAGCGCTCTTGTATTCACACCCGCACAGCACCCTAAGGTATTTTTATATTCCCCCACCCGGGTGAGTGGGTGGGTGGGAATTTTATATTTAGCAATATGAGCCGCCGTCCCCACTCGAACTCGAGTCCGCCGACCGCTATAGGTCGAGCGGGGAGAGAGGCGCTGCCTCCACGGAGCACGGTGGGGACGGAGCACGGAGGCGACACCTCCGTCCCCACCCGCCCACCGCCATTGGTTCGAGCGGCAAGCCTTAGGTAGAGCGGGGACGGAGACGTGGAAAAGCGTGCTTGTGAGTGGAAGCCACAAGCGCGCTGGCTCCGGTCGTTTTTATATGAGGGTGTTTTTCTGAGGGTGTGTTTTCTTCAAGCCTTTCTTAAACTGGGTAACGAACCCTGTGAACAGACTGGCGTGCTGATCGTGAAGAGGCGCCATGTCATCGGACACCGAGAGCACGGTCTGCGACCCGCGGTTAGAGGTCGCACCCGAGCCGCAAGTCCCCAGATAAGGCGCGTGCCCCAGCTGTTCACAGCAACAGCACGGTCTACCCCTGTCGTCCCACCCCAAGTGCAGCAGGTGTTTCCATTCACAGCACTACCTGAGACACGTCGATGTTTGGAATGACGATTTTTCGTCGGCGATCGCTCGCCAAAAAACAGCCCGCTGTCCGGTGCCAATGGCCGCCGGCGCCACCCGCCCTCGGCCGGTGGCGAGCTCCGTCCCGGCGGCGGAGGCGCCGCCGCTGCCTGAGCTCTCTGAGGAGCGAAAAATGGACCTCGCAGAGCTGCTTCGGGCGCCGCAGCCGGACGATGCGGCCACCGTCGAGCTGCTACTCAACCCGACCCCAGACAGCGCCGGCGCGGTGACAGCCATGATGGAGACGGCCCGTGCGGGGCCGCCCAGGTACGATTGCTTCATCTCCACCGGCGTCGCGCCTGCGTTCGCCTTCTCCGCCTTCCGCCACCGCAACGCCGAGGGCGGCTTTCAATACGACGTGCGGCTGACCCCGACCGAGTCGAGCCGGGTGGGCACCAACTCGTTCTGCGCGCAGCTGAAGTGCTCAGCCGACTGCACCCGCTACACGCTGTGCGACGACCCCTCCAACTTTTACTCGTACCCTCGCGAGCTCGGAGCCGTCTTTGTCGGCGGAGCCGGCCTCGGCAACCGCATCTCGGTGCTGGTGCCTCGCGTGCTGCCGTCGGGCGCGGCGGCGCAGTTCCGCGTGCTCCGTCCCGAGGACGGCATCATCTCCCGCTTCCTGGCGGGCCAGGCGCGCGAGCACATCATGACCCTCTCCGGCTTGTGGACGAGCAAAGAGGCGCCTCCCCACGCCCCGCCTCGCCTCGCCTCGCCTCGCCTCCCCTCGCCTCGCCTCCCCTCGCCGCACGCCTCGCCCCCTCCCCTCGCCTCGCCCCACGCCGCCGGGCGTCCCGCCCTGCCTAGCCTGACGCCCGCCCGCGCCTGTCTCGCAGGGAGGGACCGTCGAGCTCACCCTGGGGGGAGAGGGGACTGCCGCAAGCCAGCGACGGACGGTGCGCCGCACACAAGGCCTCGCCCTCCGCCGCAGCCCTCCCCGACCCGTGCCCGACGCCCCCCGCTGCAGGTCTTCCGCGCGACGCAGAGCAGCTCGACGCTCTCGCTCCAGTACTCGTCGCCCCTCTCCTGCTTCCAGGCCGACGCCACCGCCCCCAAACCATCCGCCCCCTCCTCGCTCCGCCACCTCACACCCCTCCCCTCTCCCTCGGTCCCTCCCCTCTCCCTCGCTAGGCCTTCTGCATCGCCCTCTCGCTCGTGCACCACGCGCAGCACCGCCGCCGCCCCTCGAGCGAACCGCGCCGCGCCTACGGCTCGGTCGGCCGCTCCTCCTCGCGCCAGAAGGAGCAGGAGCCGCCGCACAAGCCTCGCCCCTCCACCTTCCCGCGCGCCTGGTCCGCCAGGGGGGGCGAGGCTTGTGCCCCACCCGCCGCCGACCAGCTCCACCACAACGTGTGAGGTGCAGCGGACAGATCCGCCTTCCTCGGCCCCGAAGTCGCTCTAGAGATACGTCAGAGAGAGAGAGGGAGAGTGAGAGCGCGCGCGCTCGCGGGTCGCGCCACGCGCGCCGCGCAAGAGGAAGAGCCTCCAGGGCCGCTCCACATGCTCCAACGGGCTAGTACACTCGATCGAGGACAGGTCGCAGATACGGGTCAGGTCCGCCAGTTTCTTTATTAGCGTGCGCGCAGTTTCACGCAAAGACCAAAAAAGGCACTTCAAAAAATTAAAGGTAAGGCAAGCGGTTCATCTCACTTCTCTCAGTCCAACTCGAACTCCACCAAAAGCGAGCACAAGACCAACGCGTCCACATGGTCCAAGCTCGCTCTCTGTGCACTGTGGTATTTCGTCCATCGGGATCACACTACACACACACGAGCAGAGCAAAGCCGCGTATCCGGGCCGGTGCCCGCTGCCCCCTCTCTCCAGAATCTCACCAGAAGAGCGCGAGAGAGGGGTGTCTTTTTAGTGGCGCGGCAGCGCGTGTGCAATGCCGCACCGCCCACCCTCAGGCTGCCAGCCGCGCACGGCGCACGCACCACGCTCCTGCGGCCTCCCCCCTCCCATCGCCACATCCCCACGGCAGAAATTTCGGCCCGCGTTCTCCCCCGTGCGGTCTCACCGATTGGTGCCGTAGACGCCGGAGGAGGTTGAGATGTCGGGCCCGCGCATGAAGAAGTCCTTGGACTGGCCGACGTGCACGTCCGTCCACAGCTCGGACTGCTCGGGCGGAGGCGCCGCTTTGGCCGCCTCGACGGCGGCGGCCACCTCCGCCTTGACCTCCTTGTCGATCTCCTTGATCTCGGCCTCGGTGACGAGCTCGGTGTCGATGCAGTAGCGCTTGGCGCGGTCGACAGGGTCGCGGGCCGCGCGGACTTGCGACACCTTTTGCAGGCGGGGGCGGGGGGGGGGCGATAGGGGGGGGGGGGGGGGCAATGGGGGGGGGGGAGGGAAAGGGAAAGGGAAAGGGAAAAAAAAAAAAAAAGAGGGGGAAAGAGAGAAAGAGAGAGAGAGAAAGAGAGAGAGAGAGAGAGAGAGAAAGAGAGAGAGAGAGAGAGAGAGAGAACCTTTGGGGCGGGGGTCCCCGGGGGGGGTGCGCCTCGTCGCGGTTGCGGTATGTGATGCCCGGGTCAGACATGGAGTGGCCGTGGTAGCGGTACGTGTCGAACTCGACGACGATCGGTCCGACCTAAAACGGAATGGTCTCTCTCCTTCCTTCGCAGCAGCGGCAGGAGTGGGATCTGGAGTGGATCTCGGCACGAGGCTGGGCGTCGCCTCGACGGCGTGCTTCTTGAGGAACTTGGTGCACTCGCGCACCGAGAGGACGTTCATGCCGTCGCACTTGATGCCGGGCACGTACCCTCCTCGCGTGTAGTAGTCGTCGTTGGCCGAGGAGCGCTTCTTGGAGGTGCCCATGCCTAGAGGCGAAGCGTCCGAGAAGCTTCGCGGGCGGCTCGAGGTGGGATGGAGCTCTTCTCGGGCGGGCGAGAGCGCCGTACTGGTTGTTCTCGCAGACGTAGACGAGCGGCAGCTGGAGCAGCGCAGCCATGTTGAGCGCCTGGCGGGGCGGGCAGGCGAGGCGGCTCTAGCGCGCGTGGGGCTGGGCGGCGGCGGGGGGAGGTGGGGGGCAGCGCGTCGCGCCTCGAAGAGCTGGCCTTGGTTGGCGGCTCCGTCGCCGTAGAGCGCGAAGGAGCAGCAGCCGTCACCGGCGAACTTGTGCGCGAAGGCGATGCCCGCGCCGAGCGGCGCCTGCGAGCCGACGATGCCGTTTCCGCCGTAAAAGTTGGCGTCGGCCTTGTACATGTGCATCGAGCCGCCCTTGCCCTTTGCACAGCCGCCCTGCTTGCCGAGCAGCTCGCAGAGCACGCCCGTCACCGTGTCGCCACGCGAGAGCTGCCACGCGTGGTCGCGGTACGACGTGATGACCGAGTCGCCCCACGTGGCGCCCGCCTCCATGCCGACGCAGATCGCCTCCTGCCCGTCGTACAGATGGCAGAAGCCCTTGACGTGCTTGGCCTTGTACAGCGTGTCCGCCGAGATCTCCATCCGTCGCATGCGATACATCAGCGAGTAGTAGCCGAGAAGCTCGTCCCGCGTCACCTGCCGGGGGAGAGTGTCGTGACAGAGGCGCGCGGCCGGCGGCTCCATGGAATGAGGCGCCTTGGAAGGTGGCGGCGGCCGCCGGAGGGGTGTGGGTGGCATGTGAAATTGCGGGTGGGGCTGCCCCAGCCGCTCTCCCCACTGCACGGCCACGCTCACCTCAGCCGTCATGGGCGGCTCCGACTCAAGCTTGAACGTCTCGTAGGGCTTGTCCAGCTGTACCGTGACGGTACCCGACGACATCATCCTGCGCTGCCCGACCGCAGCGCCGCATGAGCGTCGAGCTGTCCTCGCTGCGCAGCTTCGCAGCATCGACTCTCTTTGTGTTGGATGCGGCGGCCTTGAGGCGCTGCTTGCTGGTTTTCTTCTCTGACGACCTCGCCCCACTTTATGTAAGCAACAAAACCAAACAACTCTAACACTCACACGTCATTTGGGGCCTGGATCCCTGTTCACGCGCGCGCGAGACGTGCAGACAGGGTTGCCAGGTGAGAGCGAATGGCGCGGTTCACGCCTCGCACAACAGAGAGAGAGAGATTTTTAGCAATACCAAACAACTCTAACACTCACACGTAATTTGGGGCCTGGAGCCCTGTTCACGCGCGCGCGAGACGTGCAGACAGGGTTGCCAGGTGAGAGCGAATGGCGCGGTTCACGCCTCGCACAACAGAGAGAGAGATGCGCTCTGCATGGTGGGACATATGTGTATCGCGCGCCTTGCGGGGGGGGCGCGGAAAAGAGGAACCTCTTAGCGCCATCGCCACGGTGCTGCATGCAGCGCCGGGCGACGACGGCTTACCGCCTCCCGGTCCCCCTCGGCACACCTCCGCTGCTCAATGTTTGACGGCTCGAACCCGTGAAGCTTCCCCGTGCGCGGGTTACCCCGCACACGGGTCAGCCTGCCAGCCACGTATCCACGCAAGCGTGGTCCGCGTGCATGGCATACAGGCGTCCGCCAGACAGCGCAGAGGCTAGGCGACCGGGGAAGGACTAGCTCAAGGGCAACACAGCGTCACCAGCCGTTGGCGCGCAGAACGAGTCTGCGGCCCCCGGTTGGGACGAGTGCGCGACGCGGACGAACCGCTCAATGTGGCCGGCAGCTCGCGCTGCCGGCGGGGTTGGTTGGGGAGAACCGGCACGGGGATGGCCGGCCTCCCCGGAGGGGTCGCCCCCTGGAGGGGCCCCAAAGGGCCCCCCGGGGGGGCGGGGGCCCCCGCCCCGAGGGGCGGGGGCGGGTCCTTCCGTGTCGCTCCCCTCGTCGGGAGTGTCCGTCGGGATGGTGTTGTCCGCCCACTCGGCAGCGTTTGAGCCACTGTCACCTTGCCTGCCGCGAGCAGCTAGCTCGTCGACGTAGTCGTTCCATTTGTTGCCGCTGTGACCCGCCACATGCCTCCACGTCACGGTGTGTTTGGCGCGAAGGCGTCGCCAGAGGGAACGAAGGCGCTCCGCTAGCTGTCTGTTCGTTTTGGGGGTCACCCTCCCCATCATGCACGCCGCCGCGTACTCGCTGTCGGTCCGCACTACTCCGCGTGAGCCCGCTCGTTGCGGTGACGAGGACAGGAGAGCCCGGAGGAGCTCGGCTAGGGCGGTTAGTTCCGCCGTGTTGTTGGTATGCCTGCGCGCGCCGAGGTAGGCTGGGTGCGCCGCCGAAGTGACAACTGGCCCGTAGCCCTCGCTCGCCAACGACGCGCCCCTATCGCCGATTGCGTCGCCCCCGATGAGTACTGTATAGGCCCACCCTGCTTTCCCTAGGTCTTCCGACCCGTCTGTGTATGCCACCCAGTCGGGCGGGCGTCGTTGCGCCTGCTCTGCCAGTTGCTGCTGTGGGCGAAGAACGACCCCTGGTGCCTCGACCATTAGTCTCAGCTTGACCCGGCATGCCCCCCCTTCACCCTGAGGCGCTACACAGAGGAGTGCGACTGTGCTCACCGCGCAGCCGTATATATAAAAGAGAGCGAGTACTTGGGCGAGTAGGCCGTGCGGTCAACGCTGCCGCGCGCGACTTTGCGCGCGAGGCGGCGCAGCTTGAGAACGGCGGTGGGCGAGAAGCCGCCGCCGAACGTCTCGTGGAGCAGCAGGTTGAAGTTGTTGCGCTTGACAAAGATCGCGTCGTGGTAGAAAAAACAACAGAGGGAGAGATGCGCTCTGCATGGTGGGACATAAAAGAGAGCGAGTACTTGGGCGAGTAGGCCGTGCGGTCAACGCTGCCGCGCGCGACTTTGCGCGCGAGGCGGCGCAGCTTGAGAACGGCGGTGGGCGAGAAGCCGCCACCGAACGTCTCGTGGAGCAGCAGGTTGAAGTTGTTGCGCTTGACAAAGATCGCGTCGTGGTAGAAACCGCGATGCGCCTTGACGTAGCCGTGGCCGGTCTTGTGGGAGAAGAGTTGGCCGGGCTGCCCGCGCGCCTTGCAGCCCATGTTTAGGCGGCGGGCCTTCTCTTCGGTGTTGCCGAAGGCGTAGGAGTGGCCATCTAACAACTCTAACACTCTCTCGTAGGCTTGACCTAAAATAAATTTTTGAGCACCAACAAGAAATCGCGACTCTGGGGAGAGACTTTTAGTCTTGTTCTTAACAAAATGCGCATGCGGAGATCGGTCAGTGATCTGTGATCTGTGTGAGGGTCCGCCCGCAGGCACATTTTGTTACCGAGGCGGTGCCCGGTGCCGAACCTGTCGGACCTTAAGACAGCATTGTAGATTCCTGGGCGAGGGTGATGGAGAGGGCTGTCCTGCGGCCGGAGGACCCACATCCCGCATTCCGCTTTTCCGGCGGGCAGCGACGCTGCAGCGACTCACCTCTCAGCTCTCACATCTCACAAGTGTGCAGGGTGTATCGTGTATGGACACTCCACCCTCGCCCAGGGATCTACAATGCTGTCTTAAGGTCCGACCTGTGGGCACTGCCTGCGCTCGGCACCGGGCACCGCCTCGGTATACAAAATCTCTTCTGCCCGCGGGCCGACCCTGGAGCTGGACCCTCCGCACACCGCACAGACGACAGAGCTCTCCGTCTCAGTCTCACTTTTGAGTTGATATACCGTATCATATAATTTAGCGCCGCGCCGCGGGCGCCAGGCGACGAGACTCGTCGCCCTCGATCGTCGCCGCCATCACCGTGGAGCAGCTGCCGTGGGGGTCCCTTTGGGGGGAGGAGAGAGAAAAATAACACGACTGCGGCTGCGGGTGGCCGGGGAGCGGGGTGGAGACCTCTCGCTCACCACTCACAGGACGCAGCTCGCGGACAGTGCCACGGGGGGGCCGCAAACACATAGACTTAGACATGCATGATTATGCGGCCTCCGTCACCGTCTCTGGACTAGATCTTCTCGTCGGGCCGCTCCCCCTCGTCGTGACGCTCCAGCATCTCCTGCGGGAAGGGGACGAAGCCGCGAAGCTTCCAGAAGCGCTTCCTCCACCACGCCTTCGAGCGGCGGGCGGCGGCGAGGAGAGTGTGGCCTCCGTGCAGTAGCAGCGCGGCTGCGACGACTAGGGCCACCACGGCGTCGGCCCACCACAGCGACGGATCCACACTCACCAGCCCGACGCCGACGCACACGCCGAGAGAGAGCAGCGCGCCGGCGAGGGTGCAGGTGCCGTCCTCCTTGAGCGAGGCCGATTCGACCGCGGCCCCGATGTGTAGTTTTAGCAACCCGAGCGCCGCAAAGATGGCTGCGCTCGGCGCGGTGAGGAGGAGCAGCAGGGCGGAGCCACCCTCGCCGTCGCCGCCCGGCGGTTCAGCGTCGTGTCCCGTCAGAACCTCCATCAACGCGGCGCCTCCGACGACGATGGCGAGAAGTACAAAGCAGAGGGCGATGCCGATAGCGGCGCGCTCCTCTCTCAACGCAAGCATGTGCTCGTTGGTGCCCTCTCCCCCACCCCAGAATCGCCAAGCGACCAGCAACGAGGAGACGCAGTCGACGAGGTTCTCCAGGCCAAAGCCGAGCGTGGCCGTCGAGCCGAGCCGAAGGGCAAGCACGATCCCCGCAGCCGCTGCCGCTGTGGTCAGAACGAGCGAGAGGACGGATATGGCGAAGGCCTCTCGCGGCCCTGGCGACGTGCAGTCGAACGACATCAGGGTGTCGCTTGTCACGGCGTTCACGCTTATTCACATAAACGGCCGTTCACACACCTTGAAAGAAGAGAAATTCACATTGCACAACCCCGGGCCCGAAATCGCACAGTGACAGTCAGACATGCAACACGGGGTCCCAGGGAAGGCAAGCAAAAACCTTATCGCACGCGCTAGCTAGACGCCGACTCGGAGGCCGCACCGGCGGTCATGCGCGCAGCCGGAGAGAGAGGGAGGCGCTCAATCGCCGAACTCGGCGAGCACCTCCAGCGTCTCCGCTATTCACGCACTTGCTTACGCAAAAGCACAATCCCGGACCAAGACGCAACATGGGGTCCCAGGGAAGGCGAGAAACCTTTCGTGCGCGCTAGACGCCGACTCGGTGGACGCACCGGTCAGCGTCAGGCGCGCAGCCGGAGAGAGTCAATCGGCTCACGCGGCGAGCGCCTCCATTTCCGACTCATACACACCCTCCACCCCCGCGCCCGCGCCTGCAGCGTCCGTGCGCGCGAGGATGGCCTCGCCGGGCGGTGCGGCCGCAGCTGCAGCTATGGCAGCAGCCGCAGCAGAGGCAGCAGCAGCGGCAGTAGCAGCGGCAGAGCCGCAGCCGCGGCCGCTACCGCCGTCGGGCGTCGCGCGGTCGCTCAGCATCTTGAACGAATCCCCACGATGAGCAGCGAGGCGAGGAATATCTCCTCGCCGCCGATCGTCGGGCCGATAAACTGCATCTTGAACATCGACAATATCAATAACACGACTCACGAGCGACCTCTTGAGTCTTGTTCACGCAAAAACACACCCCGAACCCCGGGCCCCCAAGACGCACAATGACAAACATAGGGATGTTCACACTTGCACTTGCCGACCGGCGGTGCTTTCGTGCTCTTAACGGTCACGGTCGTGGCGAGAACTTGCCCATTTGTATAGACCCACTTTCGTCTTGGTTCTCGACACAGGTCACAGCTATTATTACTCGAGTAGGTGTTCTATGTACGTCTCGGCTACATCTCTCCAGATCGACCCTCCTCCTAGATGGCGACCGACGTCTCGATCTGGGACGGGATAAACACCCGGTAGGGCCTCCGCCGCTGGAGGTTGCGCGCCTCGACCGCGTCTCCAAAGCGGCGCAGCGACGCGGTGAGGTTCGTCCACATGCTGCCAGCCTCGGCGTCAAGAAACATGTGGGAGTAGTCGTCGAGGATGCGTGGCCTGTTGGGCGGACGCGAGGCGGAGAGTGTGTTGCGGGGCTGCGTCACGAGAGTGTGTTGCGAAGGGTGTGCGAGCGCACTGCTCGTGCGAGGTTAGCGCCATGATGACCGTCTGCGTGTAGGCCGTGCTGCACGCGAGGGAGGGGGGGCGGGGAGGACGTCAGCTAGGGGCCTGACAACTCAGGCGAGTGCTCTCGGCGTGGCTGCGCGTCGCCGAGGGAGGCCGCAGAAGTCGCCGTCGCGCCAGCTCCAAGGCGCCCAGCAGGGGTCCTCGAGCTCGGCGGCGATCGTGCCGACGTGCCGGTGGCCGGCGCTGACCAGGTACATGAAGGTCGCGAGGATGTCGGCCAGCGCGTCGCACGAGTCCACCGACGGCACGTCGTGGTTTGGCGCGATGCGGTTGACTCGCCGGTGCCAGGCCTGCACCCCTGCGTCGGCGGCGCACTCGCCCGACGGATAGTATTTCACCAGGTAGTCGGAGACGAAGCGGCGGAGAAGGAGGTAGTATTCGTCGCCATCCTCGTCGAGGGGCAGCGTGACGGAGTCAACGCCTTTGGCCGCGTGCCGCGCTGTGATCGTCGCCCAGGTGATGCCCGCGCTCGAGGTGCGAGCAAAGTCGAAGAGCTGCCGGAGGCCCTGCTTGGTGAAGGGCATCGCGCGGTGCAGCAGCCCAAACTCGTTGACGAGCGCAAAGGACGCGCGCCAGTTGATGGCGGCGGTGCGGTACCCAAACGGCGTCATCAGTCGGCGGAGAGGGTGATCGGGATCGAGCTCCTGCGCGCGCGAGCGCATCAGGTGGGTGGGGGGTGGCAGGCGCGAGCGGTGTGTGTGTGTGCCCGGCGGTGCAACCTCCACGTTGGCGGTGATGATCGCGTTGGCGACGCTGAGGTGGAGGCCGTAAAGGTGGTCGATTCCCGTCACCACCGCGGACAGGGTGCCGCGAAAGGCGAGCCTGTGGCGCAAAGCCGGCTCCGTCAGTCCGGGCCGCCGGCGCCACCCGCCTCTGCAGTTTGCGGGCCGCACTTTGCGTTTCGCCAGCCGTAGACGGCGGCCTCCTCCTCGCTGCACGTCTTTGTCGGCCAGTACAACGAGGGGCACCACCAGTGGCGACATGCGCGCTGCCAGCCCCACGCCCACGTGCACGAGCTCGGCCGATACCTGCGGCCCTGTGGTCCGTCGGGTGTGTATGTGACGCCGAGCCGGCGGATCGCGACCACGGTCCCATTCTTGTCGAAGTACGCCGAGGCGCCGAGGGCGGCGAACCCCTGGCGCACTTCGAGCCCCTCAGCAAAGTCCATGTAGACAGCGTAGTAGGCATCGTCGGGAGCGTACGCGTCCTCGCCACGTGCTGCGCAGGCTGGCAGCCGCACCCCCCCGGCGGCGTGAGTGCATGCGCGCTGCACCCTGTGCTGGCCCATCCCGAAGAACACGAGGTCCTCCAGCGCGCGATCGCTCATACGATCGGCGCCCCACGGAACCAGCACGCGATGCTCGGGCCACGCGCCAAATAGATGCTCCTTGATGATGCTCGACGCGTCCTCGTCGTCCCGCCACTCGCCGCACACGTCGGCCGAAAGCGGGTAGCCGAGGGTCTCGCCGATGCCGATGGAGAGGAGGGCGTAGTGGTGCGCCTCCACTTCCTGCAAGGGGGACCAGCGGGGACGCGGTGGAAGGCCGAGGTCTCGGTGTGAGACGGTGACGCCCAGCGTCGGAATAAGGGATGCTCGTGCCTGGTGCTCGTCGGTCTTTGCAACGACGACGGCGTCCGCTTCTGCATCATAAGCCAGCCCGCACTGAACGTGATCGACGTCCCTCTTGGCCACTGGCACGTCCACGTCTCTTGCGGATGGCCTGCCGAGTGGCGCATTTCTCGCGCGCCAGTCGTCCACCTCGATCTTGTTCTGCAGAGCGATGATCCGGGTGAACACGTCGAAGCGAGACACCTTGTGAGTGGTCATGCTGAGGCTGTTGCGCACGGCGGTCTGTGCAATGCGCTGGAGCTCGCGGATTGCGCCGGCGACGCTCGTGGGCGATTGTGACTCCGGCGTGTGCGGCGGCGTGTCTTTGCTCTCGGTCGGGTCGCCAAGCAGAAGGTTGGCGACGTCGTCTGTGCTGACCTCTGGCGGCCCTGGCAGCCGCACGCCGGTGATGTCCTCCATCTGGGTGCGCGTGAGCGCGGCAGTGCTCGCAGTGCTCGCCAGCACAATGATAAGGTGGAACCGCATTGCACAACAGAGCAGCGAGCAAATGCACGGTGGAGCCGAAGACCACCTTGTTGCTTGACAATTCGGACCGGGTCGTTACAAAAGAAAAGGGGGAACGTGGGAGATGTAATGTTGAAAAGAGGGGAAGGCCCGGTCAAGACAGGAGGGAAACGAGGGACGAGAGAAAAAAATGTCTTGCTCGTACCTACGTAGAGAGCGAGACGGGGCCTGCTGCGGCGGCGCGGCCGGTTGAGGCCGGGCTCGGCCCGGCCCGCGACGACTGGCCGCCGACGAGCGCGCTCGCGCTGCTCGTCAAGATGGCGGCGGTGGCGATTGCGGCGACAAAAGTTCAGTCGTACAACGCTCAGGCGTCTGTCGTCTCTGTCGTCTGTTGTCGCATTTCGCACACGCGCGCGCCGCGCGACCCGCGTCGCTCCGCGAGGGCATGAGCCTTCCGCGATTTGATCCCGCAGCCAAAAGCTGCTCGCTCGAACCGCGGCCGACTCCGCCATCGCGGCCGCAGCTGTTGAGCTCTCCAGAAGACTGGTGCTTCATAAGTCATATGCTGCCCTAGATGCTGCCTCCCTGCGGATGCTGCCGGCGAGCCTGGCGGTCCGCTGACCTGTACTACAAGGAGGTGCTGACTCGATTCTACCTCGAATTCTTCTACCCCCACGACTCGGAACGCGAATGTGACAGGACCATCGGGTCCTTCAGCCACCAAAGCGAGATCACCCGAGAGCAGCTGAGCCTGCCTCTGGCCTCGCCTCCCTCTCCTTCAGGCATTCGTGGCATCCTATGGGTCGTCCAGAGTATCGACCTCTGGCTTGTCAGCCGCCCCACCGAGGGCACCATGAAGTACAGCGATCGCCACCTCGCTGGCCTCTCCGCAAGGCCCCCCGACCGCGTCGAACTCATCGGCGCGGGCTCTCTGGGCTACGGGACCGGCCCCAGCTTCGGCTGAGGGCTAACAAGCTGCCGAGCCCAAATCACTGTGAGAGTCGTGATTTCTTGTTGGTCTTCAAATCTCTCTCTCTCTCTCTCTCTCTCTCTCTCTCTCTCTCTCTCTCTCTCTCTCTCTCTCTCTCTCCTCTTGGGTTGTCTGTTTTCTTTCTTTTTACGTACGGGCGGGAATGTGTACGTAAGAGCCACATACTGTGCTGTATGAATGGTTGGGCAGGTGTGAACAACACCTCCTGACCACGGCGCCGCAGGCGCCTGTTGATGGGTCCAGGTGATAGCCCTGGATGAGCAATGCATACGCCTAGTTGGACCTCAGATCACTCGCCCGCGTCCCGGTGCTCTGCCGTCGGATTTGTGACGCCGCCGCACCGCGCCGCGGCCGGGGGCCCTCCGGAGGCCGAGGATGGCCGTGGCGGGACCGGGACGAGCTCTGGGAGGTGAAGTGTCTGTACACATTGTAGAGACAGACCATGTGCACAATATCTTTCAGTCTAGCTAAGCCAGGGGAGGCGATGCCGGGGCCGTACAGCAGCTTGATGGTGTTTCGCCGGCGTGCGTCCCGGGTGCCGGACGGGCGGTCCGTGGGAGGAAAACTCCGGGCAACGTTAGTCGTGTTCACGCCGGGATCGTGCCCTGACTAACCTGCCCAACCATTCAGGGCGACGAGTACACAATTGATATTATAAAGTGATGCTTTTTGTCGGCTGAGCCCCCCCCCCCCCCCCTCCCCCGCGCCGTCACTCCCCTGCCCTCTCCCGCCACGCACGCCGCCCGAGCCCTCTCCGCTCTTGCGCAGGAGGAAATTGGACAATTAAATCAGACGGAAGCGGTGATGATGGGAGAGGGGGGACGACACCGCCCGATCTACCCTCCGGGGTCCCTCGGCGGCGTGCACCTCGATCCTGGAGCCGGGTGACGGTGGTACGTGTTCGAGCGATCTCAGGCCCAGTGAGGAAGTGCGCTTGGGCCTCACCTGATCCAGCTGAACGAGCTCCTGTTGCAGCATGCGCACTCTCGTGGTCTTGCAATGATCCACGGTCGCAGCTGGAGAGGAGGTCCTGAGGAACGGGAACTGAGGGACCTCTCTCCAGCGGAGGGAACGACACGCGATTTCTTCTGGGTCGCGTACACCTCCCGCCGTTCGGCGAGCTTGCGCCTTGTGCATGCCGATGGCAGCCCATGTCGCATGTGGCGGACGGCATGCACTGGGGTGTTCATGGGGTCCCGTACCATGCGGAATCGACCCTATCCAGTGCTCAAGTGCTCAAGTACACAAAAGATCTCTGCCCGTGCGACTTTCGCTAACTCCCTCGAGTGTAGACCGTCTCTCTTCGGCGCGCTTGAGCACGTTTGGCACCAAGAGGCTTTGATTCTTACGACCCTCTGCCTCACCCGCCGCGACCCGCAGGTGTGCACTCTGTGCTCACACCACTACACTGTGGGCGGTGCCCGAGCATGATGTATGTGCGCGTCTGTGCGTGTGTGGGACAGACGTTGTTGTCGTATGCGGTGGGCGTGTGCCATTTCTTTTTCTCATTGCTAACAAAAGAGGTGCGCTGCTCGCTCGCGGGGTGGCATCCGCGCTCCGCGCGTGGCGATCGCACGCAGCCGGAGCCGCGAGCGCGCTGCAGCCGAGGAGATGGCCGCCACCCGGGGAGGGGCTCCCGAGTGGCGGTTCTTCCAGGTGTTTGGCGAGGAGCAGCCCGACGGCGCGGGCGTCGAGGACATTCAGGAAGGTCAGCCGCTCTACCGTTTGCACTCTACGGCCTCTCGCACCGAGCACCAGCCGTTGCCACCACGCCGCGCACGGCACTGATCCGCTCGTTCGCCCTCCGTCTCCCGCGCAGCGGATTTGCTTTCGGCGCTTGATTTTGACGAGACGGGGAATTACCTCGCCACCGGGGACCGAGGCGGGCGGATTGTCGTTTTCGAGCGAGCCACGCCCGATGAGCAGCAGCTGACTCCAGACGACCAGCGGCCCTGCCCGGCCGCAGCGCTGCGGGCCAAAGAGAAGGCGCTCCCTCCCCGCTCGCGGCCTTGCTCGCTGCCCCCGGGCGAGCCGCTTGCCCCCTCTGCAGGCGCAGTACCGCTTTCTGACTGAGTTTCAGTCGCACGAGCCGGAGTTTGACTTTCTCAAGGTGCTGCGCTCGCTCGCCGCCCCGAGGGCGAGGCCTCGCCTGACCGCCTCCCGCCCCGTCCCAGTCGCTCGAGATCGAGGAGAAGATCAACTCGATGCGGTGGTGCAAGGGGACCATGGGGTGTGCAACGCCTCTGACACCACTCCCCTCGCCACTCCCCTCGCCGCTCCCGGCCACACAAGACCAGCCTCCGCTGCTACCCCCTAACCCTCCCGCGCTACCCACGGCGGCGCACGCGGAAGACGACCCGACCCCTCCCTGCCCCTCCCCCCCCCCCCCCAAGGTGCAAGATGCTCTTGTCGACGAACGACAAGACCATCAAGCTCTGGAAGGTGAGGGGGCCGCTATATTATCTTATCTTATCTTATCTTATCTTAGACAAGACCATCAGGCTCTGGAAGGCGAGGGGGCCGCTGGCGGCCTCTCACTCCTCGCCCCACACTCTTGCGCACTCGGGGAGGACTCTCAAGCACTCCAAGAGCACTCTGGCGCACTCGAAGAGCACTCTGGCGCACTCGGGGAGGGGGTAGGGGGGGAGGGGGAAGGGGGCGAGGCGAGGGGCACGACACGGGCGGGAGGAAGGCAAAGAGGGCGAGAGAGGGGCGGGTGGAGCATCCCACACGACCTCCTCCCCCGCGAGCCTCTCCCACCACCGCCCCACCCCACCACCGCCCCACCCCACGCCCGCCCCACCCCACGCCCGCCGCACCCATCCGCACTCGCCTGCGCACTCGCTTCGTGCGCAGGTGTACGGCAAAAAGATCAAGACCGTGTCAAACATGAACATCGAGCCGCGCAACGGGTGCGCGGGCGGCCCTGCCGCGGTGATGCGGGGCAGGGGCCTCCGCCTCCCATTGATGGCGACCTGCGAGCGCGTCGTCACGGTGAGCAGAGGGGTGGGCCAACCTCCCGCCGCCTCTCCCCCTCCCCCCACGCGGCACCGCACTGGATGCAGGCGACGCCGAAGCGAACCTTTGCGAACGCGCACGCGTACCACATAAACTCGGTGAGCGCCCGCCCCCGCAGGCCTCCCTGCCGCCGCCCCTCGACGCGGCTCCCCTCTCCGCCGCAGGTGGCGCTCTGCTCCGACGGCGAGTCTTTCCTCTCCTGCGACGACTTGCGGCGCCGCGCGCACGGCTGCGATGCAAAGGGCCACCAGCTCGGGCTCTGAGCACGCTATGCTTCTGCCTCTAGGCTCAACCTGTGGAACTTGCGAGACGCTAAGTGCCGCTCCGCCCACTCCTCCTCTCCCCGTCTCTCGCCCCCCCTCGGGCCGATCCGAGCGTCACTCCCGCCGCCACCGTGCAGGTGCTGCTTCAACATAGTCGACGTCAAGCCGGCAAACATGGAGGCGCTCTCCAAGGTCCTCACGTCGGCCGACTTCCACCCGATCGACTGCCACACCTTCCTCTACTCCTCCTCTCGCGGCTGCGTCCGCCTCGGCGACATGCGCGCCGCCGCCCTCTGCGACGCCAGCGCAAAGTCGTTCGAGGCGTCGCGAGACACTTCCGAGACACTTCCTCGAGACGCTTCCTCGAGATGCTTCCGAGACACTTCCGAGGGAGGCTCTCCCGAGCCACTCTCTCGCAGTGGCACGCGGAGCCCTTCGAGGCGCGTCCGGCGCTCGAGAGGAGCCCTCCTCCGCTGTTCCTCCGCCGTAGGAGCCGGAGGACCCGGCCACCAAGTCCTTCTTCTCGGAGATCACCTCCTCCATCGCCTCCGCGCGCTTCTCTCGAGACGGGCGCAACATCGTCACGTGCGGGACCCACGCCTCGCCCTCGCCCCCCCCCCCCTTTTCAGGCGGAAGGGTCCGACCCCCCCCGCACGTCTCCCCTCGCTGCAGGCGCGACTACCTCTCCGTGCGCATCTGGGATGTGCGGGTAGAGACGCGGCCGCTCAAGACGATAGCGATGCACGAGCACTTGCGGCCGAAGCTGTGCGACCTCTACGAGAAGGACTGCATCTTCGACAAGTTCGAGTGCTGCTTCAACCACAATGCGACGCACGTCCTCACCGGCTCGTACCAGAACCGCTTCCACCTCCTCTCCGCCGACGGCTCCACGCCGGACCTCGCGCTCGAGGCGTCGCAGACTCCGTACCGGAGGGCGAGCGCGCCGCCGCTGTACTCGGCCGCCGATCTGCCGCCCGACTTTTCGCGGCGCGTCCTGCACACGGCCTTTCACCCGCAGCATAACGTCGCCGCCATCGCCGCGACCTCCACTCTCTACATCATGAACGGTACGTAGCTCGTCCAGCCTAGGCCTCGGGAGCTTGTCGCTCACGGGGCCCGAGGCAGCATAATGAGATTGGCCGCGAGCGGGGCCGCGGGACGAGGACGGGTCGGCGCCGCCGTGACGACCCGTCCCCCTCTTTCCACCCGCCCTGCGCTTCGCTGTGGCCCGAGAGCTCTCGCGCGAGCGACGACCTCGCATGTGTGCGGCGCTCGGAAGTCGGATGATTACAAGAGCGACACGCGCGCGTGTGTGCGCCTCTCTCTCGTCCCCTACCATGTTATGTGTGTGTACAGCCGCCGGTGTAAAACACGCGTGTCTTGTATCTCTCCCCACTCCGGGCGCGATTATTTATGATAAACGACGATGTGTCAAACTGTCATGTGACCCGCATAGTGTGCGCAGACCGCAGTTAAAAAAAACTGAAATGCCCGCCGGCGCCGCGGCGGGGCGGCGCGCTCTCTTATTCATAGTTGTTCATACCGCGGATTGTGCCGGCCGCAATCGTCTCCACGCCCCAATCAAGAGGCCACCCGTACATGAGACGAATGCACGAATCTGCAATCTCGGCAATCCCTGTCGCCGAGAACATAGATGGCGCCCCAAGCGCGGGCTGAGAGCTGGGCGCCGGTTCACAGCAAGACGGGCGCCTTTGCAAGGCGGGCTGCCTCCTCTACCACCTGCTGGCGTGCCCACTCGTCGGTGGCGATGATGTCCTCGAGGCTCGGGTCGAGCTTGAAGTCTCGCTCGTGCGCCGCCATCGTCTGCTCGATCACCTGGGGCGGCGGCAGAGCGCGCGTCAGGGGGGGCGGGGCTCGGCGGGGCGGGCCGGTGGCGCTTGGCGGGGCGTCGCCTTTGGAATGCCGAAGAAGTCGAACTCTCCCTCGCGGAAGAGCTCGTTGGCCTTCTCGTTCGCTGCGTTGAGGGCGCACGTCATCGAGCCTCCCTTGCGACCCGCCTGCGCCGGGGAGTGAGATGGTGGGGGAGGAGCGAGGGAGGGTGTGTGTGCGAGTGCGGAGGTACTAGGGGGCGGCGGGCGGGCGGCGGCGGGCAGCAGTCACCGCGTAGGCGAGCTCGATGCAGGGGTACTTGTCCGTGTCTGGCGCCTTGAAGGACATGGAGCCGAGCTTGACGAGGTCGAACTTCTCGTCGATGCCTACAGCGGCGGCGTGAAGGCGGCGCGGGTGATGGCGGCATGGGAATGGCGGCAGGGCGGTGGCGGCCTGGGGTGGCTGCAGTGGCTTGGCGGCGGCGAGGTGTGGGGCGGCGGCGCCTCGGCCGTAGTCGACGTGGACGCGGTGGGGCCAGGACATGGCGTAGAGGATGGGGAGGCGCATGTCGGGCCAGCCGAGCTGCGCGATGACGGACGAGTCTGCCGTCTCGACGGCGGAGTGGATGATGGACTGCGGGTGGACCTGGCGGGGGAGGAGAGGAGGACGGGGAGGGGAGGCTCCACAAGGCTGCACAAAGCCTCGCGGGGCGGGCGGGAGGGAGGGGGCAGTGGGCCACCACGATGTCGATGTCGTCGTAGCCCGCGCCGAAGAGGTAGTGCGCCTCGATGACCTGCGCGCAGCGGCGGCGGGCTCGAATCCCCTCCGGCCCCCCCGCCCTCTCTCTCCACTCGGGTCCTCGCTCTCGCCTCGAGCCCCTTGTTCATCATCGTCGCAGAGTCGACGGTAATCTTGGCCCCTACAGGGGAGGGCGCTCTCTCCCTCGCAGCGTGCGGGCGAGAGGGCGGCGGCCGGGTGCTCTCTCGGCGCCCATGTCCCAGTTTGGGTGCGTCGTCGCCTTAGCCCTCACCACGTCCGGCTGCTCCGCGTTGAGCTTGCGGAGCTCGGCCGCGGAGAAGTCGCGGAAAGCGCCGCCCGACGCGGTGAGGATGACGCGGCGCAGCGCGCCTGTCGCCGCGGGGAGAGGGGGGGTGTGGCGGAGAGGGGGAGAGTGGCGCGTGGTGCTCTTCTGCTGCCCGAGCAGCCGCCGGCCGACCCGCGGGGGGGCGGGGCGCCGCGAGGGGGGAGGGGGCCGGGAGAGGGGGGTGAGGGGAGGCGCGCGCCCGGCGGGACGCCTTGCAAGCACTGGAAGATGGCCTACGGCGTGCCGCTCGTCACGCTCCCGTCCCCTCCGCACGGCGTGGGCGGCGGAGGGGAGCGGCGGAGGGGAGGTGCGGAGGGGAGGTGCGGAGGGGAGGGGCGGAGGGGAGGTGCGGAGGGGAGGGTGCGTGCCGAGTGCTCCGAGTCAGCGGGCGTCATCTTTGCGCCATGCTTCTTGAGCAGGGGAAGGATGGCTGGCCCGCCCGCGATGAGCGTCTCCTGCAGCGGTCCGGGCGAGGGTGGCTCTCGGCTGGCAGGGGCGAGGCGCGGCGAGAGGCGCGGCGAGGAGAGGAGAGGGGGGAGGGGTGCGGAGCTGGGCCCATCGCCGGGAGGGCCGTGACACTTCCTAGACACTTCCTAGACACTTCCATCGCAGGGAGGGCCGTGCGCGCTGCGGCGAGGCGGCCTGAGGCGGCGGCGGCGCCTTGGTCGCCAAGAAGTGTCTAGGAAGTGTCTAGGAAGTGTCTAGGAGGTGTCTAGGAGGTGTCTAGGAGGTGTCTAGGAAGTGTCTAGGAGGTGTCTAGGAGGTGTCTAGGAAGTGTCTAGGAAGTGTCTGGGCGGCGCCTTGTTCGCGAGGGCGATGGTGCGGCCGAGCTTGATCGCCTCGACCGTCGGCAGCAGCCCCGCGCACCCCACCACGCCCGTCACGACGGTGTCTGCGCCCGGTGCGGTCGCGACTGCAGTCTGCCCCTCGGGCCCTGCCACTATCTCGGGCACTGCAGCGCCGAGAGCGCGGATCCGATCGCGCAGCTCCTGAGCAGCCGGCCGAGGGCGGCTGAGCAGAGTGGCGCAAAGGTCTCGCGAGAGGGGCCGGCCTGGTGCCAGCCAAGGGGCCGGTGGCGGGGCGGCGGCGGCGGCGGCGGCGGTTCGGCGGTGGCTGCGGCGGTGGCTGCGGCGATGGTGGCGAGTGGCGGGCCGCTTCGCTGGCCTGCTCCTTGGAGGCGTCCGCGAGACCGACGACCTTGGGACGGAACTCGGCGACCTGTGGGCGTGTGGGCGGGACATCGGTAGAGCCGCAGCCTCGCGAGTGCGCAGCAGTGGATGCGGGTGTGAGGAGAGGAGCGCTGGCCGGGCCTGCTGCGCGAGGAGATCGACGTTGGAGCCGGCCGCGAGCGAGACCACCTCAAAGTAGTCGGGATACTCGCGCGCGATGTCCAGCGACTGCGTGCCGATCGATCCTGTCGAGCCGAGCAGCGCCACGTGCTTGCGCTGCAGCCCGCCGTCGAGCGCCCGCGAGAGGCCGTCGCGAAGGTCGTCGGCCGTGAGCACCGGCGACGCCGGGTCAAAGGACCCTACCATCCGCGCGGGCCCGGCCCGCACGGAGCTGGTGGTCCGCGACGAGCCTACCGTGACCGCGACCGAGACGGCGGAGAGCAGCATGTGTGTTGGACTGGAGGTCGCGAGAGGCGTGAGGTCGGGCTTATGAAGCAGCGAGAAAAACGACTCTCGGTCCTGGGCTTGCAGTAAATGACTGCACTCCAAGTGCTCCAAGTGCCTCCCTCGCTTGTGTGTCGCTCGAGCGTGTCGTCGTCATCTGTCTCGCGTCCACCCATACCGCGTTGGTGTCCAGTCCGAGCCTTTTGTTCTTCACCTTCCTACGGGTCCGTTGGCCTCTTTGATTTGACTTGTGTGTGTCCCTCTGTTTCCATGCTTTGTTTCTTTTTTGCTGCCGGCCTCGCCACCATGCCACCCTCCCGGCCTCACCGCTGCCGCTAGCGCTCGCCGACGGATTCTGCTCTGTCTCTGTGATCTGTGATCTGTCTGTAAGGGTCCGCCCGCAGGCGCATTTTGTATACCGAGGCGGTGCCCGGTGCCGAACCTGTCGGACCTTAAGACAGCATTGTAGATCCCTGGGCGAGGGTGGTGGAGAGGGCGGTCCGTCGGCGCTAAACCACATCCCGCCGAGCGAGGCGGGCAGGTTCCACGCGTTCCCGGACTGCCCCATTGGAGGTAGGCCGCTCATCTAGCCAATCAGCCTGAAGCGAGCGGCCTGGCCGTTGGAATGGCCGAGTTTGGTGTGGACTTGCTTGCGTCCTCGCATCGTTCGTGGTTACAAGCAGCGTTATGAATGAACACGTTATCATCCACGACACACGTTCGTCGGGAGGGGGGAGGTCTGTGACCTACCTAGTTGTCCGGCATGCGAGGGCATGCTCGGCCGTTCGGAGTCCCCCCTTTCATGTCGACCTCTCGTCCTCATCATGCTGCTGGCTCGTCCCCTCTCCCTGGCTCATCGAATCGCTACGTTCATGCTCGAACCGCTCTCTCCTCGGCGGCCGGGGTGCCTCTTCCTCTGGCTGCTCTTCCTCTACGTCCATCACTGTAAAGTCGTCATTTGTTTGGCTATCGTCATTCTGGGGGCCCTCCTCGGATAGCCGCTCGCTCGGTCCTGGCTCTGTTGTGCGGTCGGGCATCTCTTCGTCGTCGCTCCCCGTGCCGTCGTCGCCGCCGGCTTGGCCGGTGGGGGGGTCCCTGGTTGCACCCCCGCTGTGCCCGAGAAGCACTGTTGTGCCGCGCGGTCGAGGGTCCGTTGTGGCACTTGCCTCTCGCGCCCGTGCCGAAACCGCAGTAGGCTGAGGTGCCCGATCTGGTAGGCCTTTGTGCCTTTGAGGGCTCGCGGGCCCCTCTCGGCACCCCCTTGTCGGCCCTCGGCTTGCGTGACTTTGGGGCGTCTCCTCGTTGCTGCCCCTCTCTACGCCGCTCATCTCGTACGCCGATGAGCTCTCGCGCCATGGCTGCGAGGCTGTCCCCGTGGCACAGCCTCCCCTCTCAACACGAGGGCGAGCATCCGAGCCGCACCACCTTGGCGTTGCCGCGGCCGTTCAGCGCTGCCCGCATCGCCACGACGGCGTCGTTCCCCGTCCTAGCTTCGTCGGAGCGTCGAGGGGCGATCTCTCCTGCGAGAAGGGCTGCCCGTTGGCCTGTCGGATGAGCGCTGGCGTGGATCTAGTGTCCCGCGCACGGCCGAGGCGGGAACGGTGCGCAGCAGGAGCCACGTGTCGAATGCCTCGCATACCTGGTCGCGCAGCGCCTCGTCGGTGCCTCTCTTCCCCATGGGGAATGGGTTGCCGAGCCCGGTGCCTCTCATGATGTTGACTGGCAAGGGGCGCGGGACTCTGTCCGCTCCCGTGTCGCGCGTCTCCGCTCGTCGGCTTCCAGCGACGACCACCCTGATCGAAGGCTCGGCATCCCCCTGTCCGCCGCTGGGTGCGCCCCCGCTCGTGTCGCGCCTCGGGCTGGTGGTCCTCGGTGGGGGGCTTGGCTGCTTCGCCTGGCGTGTGTCGCTGCTGCTTCCAGCCCTCGACCCCCCCATGCGACGGTCCCACTCCTCTCCTGCCCCCTCGTCGTCGGTAGGCTCCTCCTCTGGCACCGGCTGTGAGCGGTCGTCGCCGTCGTCGTCGTCTACGTCGTCGTCATCGTCTCCGTCCTGTTCCCCAGTGGGCCAGCGGCGCCGCCCCTCCACGCGGGCGCGTTCGTCTTGCGCCATTCGATGGCCGTCCACGTAATCGTCTTTGAGGCCTTCCTGGCTGCGTTGGTCGCCTCGCGCACCGCCACCTGCATCGCAGAGAAGGCGCTCGCCGTCGCGCCCACCTCGCGTGGGGGGTGGTACATAGCCCGTTGCCGCCATTCTCGCCCTCGTGGCCGCCCGTTCGCGTTGTGTAGGGGCAGGGTGGGCTCCCGACGCCGCCGCCCTGAACCGCCGCCACTGTTCGACGCTGGGTAGGTTCTTGCCCGCCGTGTTGAGCGCCGCGGCGACGTCGAGCGCCTGTTTGACTGCTCCCTTGTAGGCGCTGCTGCCGCCACCCTCGGGTCGCTCGATGATGTCGTACAGCATCTCTAGGCTGTGGACGAGCTCTCCGGCCAGCTCGCGTCCCCTGGGTGCCCTCCAGACCTCTGCGAGCGCTACCATGGACGCTCTGCCGGCGTCGTCCTTGTAGTCGAGGAGCCCGAGCTGTCACGCGCCCCCGTGTTCCCACGGCCACGCGTGCGGCAGCTCCTCCGGCATGTGGACGATGAGGTTGCCGACGTCGTGCCCCGCGCTCGTGATGGCTTCGCGGATGATGAACCGTTCGAGCCCTTGTTGCACGAGCCCGCGTAGCTTGCGCTGTCCGCCTGCCCAGCTGACCGTTCCGTCTCTCCTCTGTGGTCCGTATGCGATCAGAGACGCCTCCCGAGCCAGCTTGCCGTCGTATGGGTCTTTCACTCTGCGCCCGAGGTAGGCCTTGGCGACGACGTCGGCGTAGTGGTTCGGGAAGACGCCGCAGTGTGCGCACACCCATTGGATGACTAGGTCTCCGCCCGCCCGTCGCCACCTGGCCGCCCTGAGGCTGATTCGTTCGAGCAGGGCTGGGCGGTGATGTTTGTACAGGTGCCAGGCGCTCCCTGTCTGTTCCGCCGTCTGGACTGCTTCGATGGCGGGGTTGCAGTCGCTGAGGATGAGCAGCCTGGGGGCCTCTGTGCCCCGTGGGCTGGCCTCTGCCCTGAGCATGCAGCTCGGCGTCGGCGATGCTGCTGCCTGGCGGTAGCGCCCCTCCGTATGCTGTTGGTGTGCCGTCGTCGCCGACCCCGTGCCACACTCCCCATGCGGCGAGGCCTTCCCCGGCCTCTCCGCGCGGGGCAAAGCTGCCGTCGGTGGCGCATGCGTCGGTGAAGTCGATCGTGTCGTGGAGCGTGAGACTCATCCGCGCCATGGTCGCCGTCACGCCTGCGTTCATGGTCTTGGCTTCCCGCCACTCGAGTCGCACGGCGGCGTCGCCCTCGGCGCGCCACGCTCTGCCCTTGCCCTCGCACGCAGACGCAAAGTCCGCCAGTGCATCCCTTCCGTCGGGTGGCATCGTTGTGTCGTACGACGTCTTAGGTGCGGTCGCGTCGCCCGAGGCGGGGCGGCCTCGCTGTCTAGCTGCAATACTTGTTGAGAGGCGTCCCGCCGCAAAGCTCGTGGTGATATCGGGCCTCCGTGTCGCCATCGGCGTCGGAGTCGGCGTACTGGATGGTTCTGTCGTCGGCGCCGTGCATGCCGAGGGCGCGTGCGCCTAGCCCCGTGGAGAAGTCGACGCTTCCTGCCCGAGCGAACAGGAGCGCCTCTCCGGTTGCGCCGGCTGCTGCCGTTTGCGAGCCCCCCCTCGTATGCGGCGCTCGCGCCGTCCTTGAGTGCCGTGGCCTGTACGCAGACTGCTACCCCTTTCGCCTGGGCCGCGTGCCTCGCCGCGACTGCCGGCTCCTTTGTGAGGCTCAGCCCTGCTGATCGTCGGCGCCGCCCTTCCGCGATGTCCTGTGCGTGTTGCTTGACTCCGCCCTGGTGCCGCCTCGCTGGTATGCCCTTCGCGAGGGCTGTGCGGGCGGCTTGCTGGGGCAGTTCGCGGAATAGCACTCGCTGCCATCCTCTCCGGAGATTCGCCCAGTTGGACCCTGGCGTCCAGGCGGACTCGAGGTGGAAGCTCCGGCGGTAGAGGCGGACGACTGGATTGTCGCCACCGTTTTTTTACCGTCAGAACGGTATCAGGCCCACCCCCAGACTGTGGGTCTATCGGCGGCCTCGTCCAGAGCTGATCTGGCGGGGGAGCTTCTCCGTACGAGCCACTCGCCCGCGTCCTCCGCTGTGGCTTCATCTGGCGGGGCCAGGGAGGGGATTCTCCTCCTCTCATCTCCTGGCGGCCAGCGTTCGTCTGCTGGCTGGTTGTGGTCTGGGGCCCCGAGCGGGCCCGTCGTCTCGTCGATGGGCTCGCTCCCTGGCCCCGAGCCGAGGCCCAGCCCGCCTGGCGAGGGCGGCGGCGGCGGAGCTGCCTCACCTCCCGGCCGGACGTGCCCGAGAAAGACTCGCTGTGACGACATATCGGCGTCCGTTTTAGCGCTTCGTTGGCCGCCCGGTCCCTTCGTTGCGGCGTCGCGCTCATGTGGAATGGGTGCACCCCTCTCTCTCGCGCGCGCGCCCCATGTGGATGTGCTCCTCTGCATCGGCTCGTCGGGCTGCGGTGCTGCTCCATGACGAGAGGTGCCGTTGCCAGTGCTTGAGCACGCACTCTGCCTCCTGCCACGTCGCGTGATGGTGATATCTCTCTGTCTCTCTCTTTGTTTACACGTAATGCCGTATTGCGGGTTCTTGAGATCTTGTGCAGCACGCGATCCCATTTTGCGCTGTGCGTCTCTCACTCCATTCACACAGGCAACGGCACAGATGCACTCTCCTTTCACTTACTTCACCGACACTCGATCCGCGCGGGGGAGCTCTGAGCTGGGACGGACTATCCGACCTCTGGCCTCCAGACACACTGCGGCCGTCTGCTCCACGTCGCACTACAAGTCTGCGAGGGCATGAACTGACGCGTTCAGCGCTCGGGGGACTGCCGCATCCCATGAGGCGTGGGCGGTGCACGCCCCCGCGCCCTGGGACTACGGGCATACATGACAAAGCGCGGACAGCGGAGCCTCGGCCGGCACCGCGAGGGTAAGTCGCGGCGCCGGCCGCTCCGCTGGCGCTCAGGCGCGGCGGCGCAGCTTGCGCTCATTGCCTTCGGCCGCTGCAACGGCGCCGGTCCGCCTACGTGCGGAGCCGCCGAGTGAGCAGACGGCAGGGACGAATCTCCCGCCGGTGGCAGAGCTGCTGGCGCGCCGTGTGCTGCGCGGCGACGGCGCGGCCGGAGCCTGGATGAGGCGCCGCTTGCGCGTCGCGACGGCCTGTCCAGAGCAGAGGCGGGTCGTCAAGCAGCTGAGGCGCCGGAGGGGGAGGGCGGGCGAGTCGCGCCTCCGGGGGAGGAAGCATCGCCTCGAGCGGCGGCGTCGCTTGCGCAGGCGCCGGCGTCGCCCACACTTGCGCGGCCGACTCCTCGACGGGGGCCGCAGCCTTCTCGAACGGAGCCGCAGCCTCGCCGCGCGCGGAGCCGTCCGGCGTGGGCACCGCCTCGGCCTCGGCCTTGCACTGCGCGCGCGTCTCTGCAGCCGCAGCCTCGCGGGCAGCCGAGATCTGAGGGGCGCACGAGCGGGCTCAGTGCTCTCTACCCACATCTCCCCACATCTCCCCATACCTCACGAGCGGGCTCAGTGCGCGCCGCGTCTCGAGTGCGGGGGCGGGCGGCTGGCAGGGCGGCGCACCGCTTCCGCCATCGCCAAGCCCTGCGCGGCGAGGCGGGCGCGCAGCATCTCGTTCTCGTCGCGCAGCGCCTCCACCTCGGCGAGGAGCTGCTGCTGCTGCTGCGGCTGCGGCTGTGGCTGCTGCTGCGATGGCTGCTGCTGCTGCTGCTGCTGCTGCTGCTGCTGCTGCTGCTGCTGCTGCTGCTGCTGCTGCTGCTGCTGCTGCGGCTCCTCCTTGGCTCGCTCCGCGAAGGCGGGCAGGCGCGGCGGGTCGGCGGGCGGCTTCGCCTCGGCGAGGAGCTCGACTTTTGCCGGCGTCGGCGTCGGCGGGGGCGGCTGGAGAGGCGCGTGGGCGGCCGGCGAGAACTTTGGCGGAGTCGGCACCAGCCGGCAGGAGAGGGCGGTGCGGGGCGTGAAGGTGCTGCCCCAGGCGGAGCCCGGCATGTTGTAGTCGCTCAGCTGCTTGGGCGGCACGCCGCTGAACGGCGCGAGCGTCTCCCGCCGCCGAGGCCGCACGGAGGGCGTGATGCCGGCCGGTGCGGGTGTGCCGGCGGGTGCGGAGCCGGGCGTGGGCGGCGGCGGCTGGGACAGCAGGGGCGGCGGCAGCGGCGGCGGTGGTGGTGGCGGCGGCGGCGGCACGGCGGCGCGGGCACGCTTGGA